CATTCCTCCCTTTTCAAAGTGTAACAATTTTCCCGTCTGCCATTTCAAAACGCAAGGATGTTGCAAAAACTGGTTGGGAAAATCTCAGGAAATGACGGGAATTACAATGTTTTGCATTGTAAAGAGTCTTCGAAATGTCATGATAACATGCCGAACACGTCGTGCAATTGGGGCAGCAATTTGGAACGGTTTGACGACATAAAAACGACATTTTCATAAATGCTTCATATGGTTTCGGGATTCAGGATATAACATTTCTTTAGATCTCATAAAGAGCAAAAGTTGTACAGGGTGACCCAAAATAACGGAGACAAATTTTGAAGGGTCCCACCGCGAAAACCGGGGGTTAGAGAAACATAAGCGACAACGGGTAATATTCTATAACACCTCCTCTATAATTCACGAAAATTTGGTGGAATCATCATGACGCAGTAAAAAGTTACAGCTTAACAAAGATGCCTTGCGCCATTTTTTGGCCTTCAAGTTTGGTTCCCGTGTGTTGCGTAGAGCCTGGCTGTACTACACCTGCAGAAATGGCAAGTTCATTTGTTTTGTTAGACTACTATGTCCCTAAAAAACAGTTGCGTAGGTTTTTGGAATACGTTTTTTATTTCTACGGTGGTACCGATCTCAACATTCAAGATCGCCATTTTTTCCAAGTTTTTTACATAAAAAAACCAGTTTTTTTCGAATAAAGCTAAAACCGCTAGTACGTGTTTTATTCATTAATGCAATGATTCTGAAAAAAGCTGTTAATGCTTGCTGGTTGCAACAGCTTTTCCTGAACAAGTTTCTCGCCCAGAACCTCCCCATGGCACGCTGCTTTGAGAAAGATCGGTTATCGATAACAGAATGACAAGATAGATAAAAACGGCGCTTTATGCTCCTGTATACTTATGAATACGACTTTTGAGAATCAGCCTAGGGCACTTTCGGTCTTTATGTGTCACCGGCTCGACCGGTATTCCGCCTAAGGAAAAAGTAAGGCGGAATTCTAGTGATTGCCAAATAGTATTCCGTAGCAGTTACAAGATGTTTCTCTTTTGCTTTTATGGTGTTCTTTTAATCATGTTCTAGTAACTCGTATTACATTTTGCCTTATCTAACATTTAAACTCCTTCTTACGCTTACATTTTCAAAAAAGGCCGATTTTTGCACTTCAACTGCCTGAAAATACTCGGCTGTAACTTTTCAACCATCGATTGTTAAGCTGAGTACGATAGCTCATTTTAAAGGCCTTATTATGATAATTAATCACAGCAAATCTCAAGCTATTCCGATTTTTCTTTTTTGAGTAAGGCAGCTTTATTGTAAAAAGACCCCACGGGCAGAAGGGTCCGACTCAACCGGATATACTGATGCCGTTCAAGGCAGAAGAGCGTCGTACAACAAAACTTCCGGTATATAAAACCACCCTAACGTGGTACTATAGTATAAATAAGGAGTCACTCATGAATCTTAATAAGCCGCAGAAAAAACGAGAAATCTTTTGTCTCCGTTATTTTGGGTCACCCTGTAAATTAACAAAACGATTGATAAACCAGAAGGGCGCACCAGAAAGCTCATCCACGATTCCTACGGTATCGAATGCTCCTTTTCACCTAACACTTGGACCTATTGTTGAATTCGACATGGGCTTAACATTCAGGCAGAGTAAGAAAGCCCAAGTTTCCGTCGACAAATCCGGATGGACCATAGAAATTAATGTCGAAAATAAATTTTGGTAAAATTGTGTTGATCGTTGTAACATTACTACAACGACACAAAATGTCCGAGGAAAAAGATTCCCAACTCACGATTAAGCTGCTGACGCGAAAATGTTGGAGCCCGGTGAGATTTCCTGCTAACCAACATAAACTCTAGCCCGATCTTAGCCGGATCCCAGAAGCGTAGGATGTTGTGAAATTGGATTTATGGACAAAGAAAGACTATGTTCTTGTAGGGCTCCCAACAATTGCAGCAAACACGTCAGCTTCGAAACAGAAGTGCATCGCAAGGAGACTTGATGTTCTTCAGGTTAAATCAAGGTCCGAAAACACTTGTCATGCCATCGAAATACTGCAACCACAACACATCACTACAACAACACTTGTAATTACGTATTTGGAAACCAATGGCCATGTTTATTGTTTGAGTATGTCATACTCGCAAAGAGAGAGAGAGAGATATCTCGTAATCCCGGTCAAGGTTCTGATGAAAAGCAATGTGACCCCCGAAATCTTTCCTTTCTGCGGTAAATCCCCCCTCCCTAATTTCTTCCCGGAAAGCGAGCATGACTAATATTTGAACCTACGAAATCCAAAATATATCTCGTGGCTAAAAAAGCCCTAATTAAACTGACAAGTTCAAGAGTGTCGTCACGCGTGCACTAGCTTCAACCTTCTGAGTTGATTCCATTTTAGCGGTACTTATGGAGTAGTTACGTAACAGGTACGGTAAACCCTTCAAATATTTGTATTTGGTTGCACCTTTTGTGATTAAATAGCACAAATCTTTTGCTAATCCAGCCTGGACTTGCTGAATCCCGACAATTCCTTTGTTAGTATAATATTCAAACACATCCATTTAAAAATATGGTTGCATTTTAATTGGTTCACGTAATACGGATTACAGTACACGCATAAAAAGTTTTATATGTTAATCTCCATAAAAGAATGTATCATACGCTTGTTATTACTACCAAACGTCGAACCGAAAAGCTCTCTATTATCGTGTTAACTTTAAATTCCTTACGATAAAATGCTTTTAAGCATCAAAACGTATTCTTTCAATTATTTATGCCTAAAAAAGCTTATACTGACTTTGCTCCGAAGATGGTGCAAATGTTTCACCAAACCCAACTATTTTATTCTTGGATCGTGGGATTTGAGGGTGTAATAAGTGTCTGACATCCAGAACCATGTCAACCCTATTGTCTTCTTTCTGGGTACCGAAGATTTTGAGAAAGGTATCTTGAAAGCAAACGAAGAGATAATCGGTTGTTTCTGGAGGAGAGTGTCATCATTTTGAATACTAACAAAAGACCTTGTGTTGACTTGATATTACGTGGGTCGAGTTGCACAATCTTTAAGAACCGTTTTAATGCTAATTAGGAAAGCCATTAAAATGGCGAAATTACAAATTACACTGGATCAAAGGTGGAACTTGGGGGAAAGAAGAAATGATAACGTCTGTAAATAAAATAATTTCTAAAGTACCCCAACTATTTAACGTCATATACAAATACCTCTTGTATTCGGAAATATGACTAATAAGCCTTGATTATGAAGAAATCACAAAAGAAATGATTCTGATTAAACATTGTTTCCACCTTTGTAAATTAGACAATATTTATAATTGCGAATTTGTCACAATTTGACTACAAAAGTGAAACCGTAACGCAAACGTTATGACAACCAGAACAAACATATCCGCCCACGTACAACTAGGCATCAAACAGCAAACAGTAGATGAGAATTGTGTCAAAGACGGATCAACTCTTAAATTCTGAGATGCTCAATCTCTGACATAGTCTTTACAAGTTGTTAGGCTTTTGGGGTAGAGGACGTGTTCAAAGTGTAAGCATACATTCCAACCATTGCAGACAAAGAGTCCGGTTTTCCAAAGAGTCAACCGAAGTGTTTGCCAAATTTTTTCCAAAGTTGTCATCGTTGATTTTGCAAACTTAAAGAAAATTTTGCATGGCATGTTTATTTCGTAACATTTCACCGTCCAATTTGAAAATCCAAAAAGTAAAACTCTTTGGAAAAGCTGACTATTCGGATTTAACAAAAACGTCACGCATGGATTTCGGATTTCTTAGAGCTCAAAAAATATTTAATTTCGAAGATCTTCACACACACCAGGCACGTTTTAGTGCTTCGGTGAGTTGTGTGAACGTTCTGAAGTTTAGGAATGTTTAGTGGCTTCAAAAAATCTTTTGAATTTAAGCCGTAACTTTTGCCCTGTTTTATCCCATTTCGAACTCTCAACAACGACCCGACGATAGACTTTGCGTTATCATAGTGGTTCCCTTTGTCTAAAAGGTATTACTGTATTACGCCTACAAATCCCATGATATTTACAATTACAAAAAAACTTGATTGAAGGCCACGGCGGATTAGAAGACAAATTTAATTGAAACCGAAGGTACGATGCCTGTTTACGACGTCTAACGAGCCCGGCTTAAATTAATTAACCGTGTTTTTCCAGCAACTCTGACTCTGAGATCTCCAGAGTCGGTTAATCCCCTTACAGAAGCCGAAAGTTTAAAGATTTTGCCAAAAAATTTAAAAGTAAAAAATGTGGTGGCAAAAGAAAATACGCAAAATTTGAATCGTGCCTTTTACGGTTTTCGGAAACGGAATGCCACATGAATTTTTTCCTCGAATTACATAAAGAAAAATGAGCGTGAAAATCCTTTCACATCGTGATTTATGCTGGATAAAATGTTTCGAAAGACTGTAAGGTTAAATTTAGAATTCAAGAAGCTAATTGTTAAGGTTGGGAACGAAATAAACGACGTAAACCCGCACCAAAATGAATCCAAAGTTTAATCCCTGAAATTCTGGATGCAGACAAATAACATTCCTCATCAAAAAGTCACAATCCGTAAGGTCCCTCAGGGCTTGTATTCGGACCCTCGATTCGGAAGATGACATAAAAAATGTACGTCAACGTATCTACCGTGTTCTCCAGGCCAAAAAAAAATGAAAAAGGTTATTCAAATAGTACAAGAATTTCACATACGAAATTCACGTCGACACTGCGTTCCACAAAAAGTTTTAAGAGTTCAAATGGAGATTCAGTTCAGCGTACTAAAGAAAAAAGATCAACGTATTTATTCGAACCTAAAGAACAAAGCACATTTTAAAGATCAAGAAATCTAATTCAATTTTACTCAAGAAATCTAATTCAATTTTATGGTGCCTGTTAATTTTGAAATGTAATAATTTAGAATAAATTAGTGAATAAATTAGCTAACCGGGCGCTTCACAGTGCAAAACTAGGAGGACTAAGATCTAATCTGAATTTGTCTCTGAATCCGGGTTAATTTGAACGTCCAGATCCTCATCAGTATTCCCCAGGACATCATAATCATTGGCGATTGTATCAATCGATCTGCTCATGTCATCATCTCCCTTTACATGACGTTCTTCCCCTTCTTTCTCATCTTCTTCATGCCGTTCGAATCTGGCCCATCTTTCGTTGGCTTCTATTTGTTTTCTGAAGAATTTATGGAGCACCGGCCAAAGACTAGCCTCCCACTGGGAATGCCAATCTGATCGTCCACTGCTCGCTAGATTCTTTCGGAGAGTAAGATTGGCCTGAAAAGAGAACATAATTACATTGCCAATCAGATTACCCTACCTTATTCTCCACAAATTCTCCAGCTATTTCTATGATGAAGCTCTTCAATTGATTTGCCGTGTCAAACAAACGACCGTTAATTCCATCTTGAACTTGTTCATCAATCGCTGGAAATCTCTTGGCCAGAACAGGGAGCCCACATCCAAACATATCCACTATTTTCATCGGGAGATCCAGACCAGAACTCGAAGTGTGCAAAGAAACTCCAATATCAGCCGAGGCCAAAAGTCTGGGGTAATCTTCGGGGGCCAACCAAGCTGTTACAACTTCGACATTCTTCAGATGAAGAGTCGGGATCTTGTCCATGTAGAATTTCTTTTGAGGGCCTTTACCAGTTATCACCACGAAGATCTTTGGGAGATAACATGCACTGGCACTAAATCAACAATAAATCACCACAATCTAAATACCTGGCCAATGTCAGCTCAGTATGCTTGCTGTAACCAACCAATGCATCTAAAAGTAATCCGAAATCTTCATCTTCAGTCCAAGAGGTCGAGGAGACCAAAAGGAGAGGCCGGTCTAATCTCAGCGAGCATTTATTATTCTTCTTGGTGGTGAAGATAGTTTCTAAACAGGTACTTCCTCCTTTTTTAAATACAGCCTACCTTCATCGTACTGATCAGCATCATCCATATCCGTAAAATAGCCCTCAAATGCCCCGGAAGAGAAGAGTCGGTAAAACAAATCGTGCTTCTGTTCGGTATTTACTGTCCTAAAAAAGCATTATTATTTAAAAAACGCGGAGACGTTTTTTGCGGACAGCAAGTTCTCAATAATCTCAACAATGGCTCTTTTGAAAAAAAAATTTGTATCGAACAAGACGGAAGACTCTGAGGATGCAAGGAAAAAAGAATCTTAATAATTTGACAAAAACTAAAAAATTCAGAGCCGATTCAAATTCGGTTAAAAAATTGCTACAACCTGTACATAAGATAAACATAACAAATTCTTACATGAAGTTCCACATGGGAGGTTTATCGTGAAGAGTTAATGCGTTTATTCCCCATCGTTTCTTGAGATCTTTCCTCATCGCATTGGACACACAGACAGAGATATTGGAATGACGGCCAAAGAAACCTTCCCATTTGTGAGCCCAGTTTACAAAACTAAAATTCGCAGTAATCAACTATCATCGTCCATCACTTACCAATCCTCCAGTCGTCTTTTGAAAGAATTTGAGGTTCGTTTTGGGAAGTTTTGGGCCAGAATTGTATGAGTGTAATTGTGCCAATCCGTAGCCAACGCAGCTCGTTTTAAAACTGATATCTAAAAAATAAAACCGATTAATTCATGATTCGAGAAAAGTCACAGAAATAAAGGTTCAGAAATAAAGCTTACTGCATAACAAATCAACATCGTCGGGATTCCAGGAGGATTTTGAAGTATGATCAACGATGTACACCATCTACATTTGAACAACAGACCCCATAAAAGAGCGAAGGACATGAAAATAAACTTAAATAACAGCAGGATTGGCCCGGGAAGACAAGCACATTGAAACTTGGGCGGAGATGGGATGTAAACCAAACTAAAATTATAAAAATTATTACCGGGACAATAAAGATGTTAACTTACTTTATGTTTTTATGAGATCGAATCTTTTCATGCGGAATGGATCCCTTATATCCAACCAAATCCACATAGATATCTCGCTCGGCCAGGGAATGGGCATGATAACAGGTCCTCGGAGAATGACCAATGTCGCCCAAGACCACGACAGTCGCTGAACCGATCGTCATGGCCTGAAGTCATCAATAAATCACCATAAGTGATGAGCTAAAACAATGGGAAAGTATGTTCGCCCAGAATGAAAAATGCTTATCCCCAGAAAACTTTTAGGAAAAATATTTTTTAACACGAATGGTTTTCCCCCAGAAAATACAACTTTTATTTACTGCGGAAGTATAACACCTCAAGTGCGACGCTCAGAGTTTAGAGATATTGGCACACATTTACATAAATAAGACGCATGCGGAACTACTACTAGGCGTTCCAGAAAATGCGTGCACTTTTTGTCGTGGGCCGCACTGTGCACAAAATTGCCTTCTTGCGGGGTGCATTTGACCTTTTGCACCGTGCAATTGCAATATCGCAGCGACGCAGGCTTTTCTCAACGGAGCCGGCGCGATTTTTTAGAAATTGCACAGTGCAAAATGTTTCGAAACGGATCGCGTCGCGCGGGGAACACGAAATTTTGCACTGTGCGGTGCGAAAAAGGCGGAAAAAAGTGCACGCACTTTCTGGAACGACTAGTAGCTTGCGCGTACGGTTTTTATTATTTCCATGTTTACTAACAAGGAAAGTACTTCTATGGGGTGTGGAGTTACAGGTCGAGATATATATCAAAAAATTCGCAAAAATTTTCTGATTCAGAATATATAAAAATTAGCTGCCTAATTTTGGTCTACCTACGAGTTTTATCAATAAATGTATTTCTCGAGGAAAAAAATCTGCGGCAACAAAAGCGCGCTCGGTCTCTTCCTTCGGAAGAGAGCGGTGTGGCCGAGTGGTTAGAGCGCTAGATTGGGAATCCGAAGGGAACGGGTTCGATTCGTTTTGCCACAGAACCCATTTTTTACACTGGAACTACTTTTAAGGTGTAGTTGTAATCCAATTTGATATTTTAAGGCTTGTCAATCCTTCAGAATTTATTTTAACACAACACAAATTTTTTTTATTGGTAAAAACACGGTCAAAAAGACACTTGCATGGTGTCGCGAGAAAACTTCTGAGGACAAAAACATGTCATCAGACCAAAATTAGGCAGCTAATTTTTATATATTCTGAATCAGAAAATTTTTGCGAATTTTTTGATATATATCTCGACCTGTAACTCCACACCCCATAGAAGTACTTTCCTTGTAAAAAAATGCACTTTCTGTGGGGACAAACCATTATTTTTTGGTAAAAAGTTTTTCTGTGAGAGTATTGTTCATTCTGGACGAAAAACATAGACCCAAATGAATTTACTAATTTCAGAAACCTTATCCAAGGTTCAGAAGACCTCTAAAAAACACTTCACAACATCCAAACAGGTATGGAAAAGGATGGTTTCCAACCACATAAATTTTATTCACGAATACGAAGCGCTCGCTATCCAATAAATTTATTAAATTTATTACAAAATATAAATTTACAAAATTTAAAGACAAAAGAATTAAGGAGACCATAGCCAGTCAATGACCCGCATCGAGATTAGAAGGTGAGGGGGATTACATTCAACCTTCAAGTAAATGATAAATAATTAGTAGGAGGAAAGAACAACGGAAACAACAACATATCCATACAGAGGAGGCTTCAAAATCTATCCATGTATCTAAATTTACAAGAAAAAAAGTCAATCATCCCTGCCTAAAATGGAATTAATATCATCCAGCTGGTCGAGCGCATGTTGGTATTTGAGATTCTTTCGGTTTTGGGCTTGGGATGGAGAAGGTTGGGAAGGAGGGGGCTGGTAAGCAATACCAGGTGAAAAACTGAAAATTAATTCAAATTGAATGGCTCATTTGTAAACACTTGCAAAGAAAATAAGATTACACTTACGTTTCCCCCGAAACATGTTCCCTTGTCTTATAAAAAGTCATGTCCGCATTTCGGGGATCATAACCACCTAGAGTGCGGTTAAATGAGGAGTTATACGGATTGTTCGGAGACAACGGACTGTGCAAAGAACTCAAGTTCAAACTTGGCCGAGTTGGAGTGTAAGGAACTTCTGAAACTACAATATTTGAAAATAAAATTAAACTGGACCCTGAATTTAATGAATATTACATTGCACTTACCTTCTCCCTTTGAATGATGCCTTGTGGGAGATGGGACAGGATTCAAGGTCAACGGTCTCTCAAAACTGTTTGAAGTCGACGCCGTTGGACTCGGACTGGGCTTAGAGAACGACCTCCTTTTCTCGCCTACAGGACTAATGAACATCTCATTGAACAAATCCTTTTGATCAGACAAGACTTTCGGAGATGTTGATGGTCGACTCATTTGCCCAGGAATTTTTATAGACTCCAACGCTCTATGCTTCTCCTCTTTGGTACCCAACCGAGCTCCATGAATAGCCACAGGAGTAATATGCGCGTTCAGTCGTTTGATGGAGCCCACGTGTTGGTGATTAAACTTGCTTCCCAATGGAACAACATCAACAGGCGGTGCCGCATCAGGACTAGGAGCATCAATCCGATGTTTAGGCGGATTTTTTGCGGCATGATCTTCCTCATCCTTGGAACCATGTTTATGTCCAGTTTTTAGGTAAGACCGCCTCCTCCTTGGCGGTTGAGTGTGACTTGCTGGCTTTTTATCATGAACTGGAGCTGAAAAAATCTCCATAACGTCCGCATGCACACTAAAACGAATAAATCTCAACAAAAATCTTACCTGAACCTTTAGCCGCATTTCCATCATTATTGTTCTTCGTGGCTTTTGCTTTTGGAGACTTCTTTGATTTCTTTTTCTCAGAAGGTTCTAACAAATCAGTAGAGTGATCTCCATTGAAAGATGGTGAGTGCTTTCTGATGTGCTTTGACATAGAACCTTGTGGCTCAAAATCGGGATCGTCGTCTGATCTGTTAGTGTTCTTCCGCTTTCTTTTCGACGGGCTTCCAACGTCCACATTTCCAATATCTTGGTGCTGGCTACTCCCTTGACTTTCAATCGATTGAACAGGCTTTTCCTCCTTGTTTTCCACTTCAATTTGCCCATTCATCTCTTCTAAACATCAAATTATTTTTATTTACGTAACCAAAATAAATATTTTCCACGAAAAGTTGTCTGAGGTCCCAAAAATAAAACAAATAAAATTTTGTTGTTTGGCATTGCGTTCTACGTTACTTTCAAACTCTGATGGAAAAATTTCGTATGAAATTTGTGCTGAACTGGTATAAGCATGTGTGAAAGGCTGAATATGAATTAAAACATGATTTTATGGTGTTACTTTAGTTTCGCAGAAACCTTTAGGACGCTTTTATCATAATTTTCCGATCTAACGGTTTTACTATCTTACTTTTCGATTCTTCTGATTTGATTTGCACACCATCCGTCGTGCCATTACTTCCTGTAGGCTCAGTTGTTTGTTCTGTTTCAATCTTAGCTTCGATGTTCTGCGTCTTGGCTTCAACTTGATCTCTGTTATCATCATTCTTGACTTCTTCGACATTTTTAGGCGAGTTCGACTCAACGATTGACGACTTATTGTTCAACGAGTTGGTATTGACATCCGGTTGCCGCCTTGTGAATGCTGTGTTGGTAATATAATCCACGACATACTGAAGATTCAATTTTAATACAGCAGTTTCGCTAATTAAAATTTCACGAATAAGAAGATACTTACACGAAAATCCTGAAGTAAATGTTTAGGACGCCTTATTCCTTCAGGCACTTTACATTGTCTTCTGTTTAGGAGAAGGTCCCTATAATCTCCGAGGACCTGAACTAACTTTATAAGTCCAACTATTTCAAATGGCGTAATTTGCGACAAGTACTCTAAAACGAAAAATGTTATTCTGAGTGACCTAAATCTAAAATCAAAAGAAAAAAAAATTGCGAAGAAAATTGCTTACCTTCATTAAATTTAGAGGGTGGCCTGATAACATTCTCATTACAGGCATCAAATGTAAACTGAATTGGGCCCTCCGGGCGTGGGTCGTCATAGAATTCGTCCTTGTTTAATTGTATGTCATAGCAACAGTTTGCAAACTCTTCAGGATGTTCAGCCAGTCTAATGAGTATTGAGTCATATTCAGACCTCTTGATTAGTCGAACATATTTCTTTCCAAGGGCTCTCTCCACTACGTGAGCCGCATAATACCACAAAGTTTGGTCATAGCAGTAGTACGTAAACTTTTTCTGGACTTGTCCTCGGGTTTCCTGCCCTCGAACCTCGATTTGCGTAGGAATTGAAAAGGAATGAAGGAAGTTACCACCAAAGACCAGAGAATCTTCAGGTGTATAGACAGCGTGGATCCATCCAGACGGTAGGATCAAGGTCTGCCCAGCCGTTAATTTAATGCACGTACATTTTCCTATAAGAAAATCGAGATAGTAAGCACCATCTAAAGAATAGCTCTTATTAAGAGGCTTACCAGTGATCACATCTCCAAAGAACCCAACATGAACGCCGCTATGATAGGCATTTTTATGCTCTTCGAAGATTTGTAGATTCTCTAACGACGGTTCAATCAAGAAGAAGTACTTAAGTCCTTTTTTGACGTGGTACCATACCGAAGTTCCGGCAAAATCAATATGAAAGTCGGTGTACGAACGAGCCATAGTAAAAATGGCGTACCTAAAGCGAAATTGTTTTGTCACCTTACGTCAAGAGTCTCGGTTATGAACCGAAAGTTTTTCCTTACTTTTCAACCTTAGAGTATTGCCGGTGTTCAAACTCCTTCGGGAATATATACTTCGCCCAATCAAGCTCTCTGACTAACCGCGGAGGCTCTACGAGTTCACCCAGCTTGTGATATGAGACTTCTAATGAAAGCATGTTTAAGGGTCCTAACCTATTATCTGCAGGTTTTACCATCTCTTCCGCTACGGTTTTAACCAACATGTTTTTTGTTTTCTCTGTGGAGTGGTCAAACACGTCGATCTTCGTGAAGGGTTGAATTAGATTAACTACATCTTCATAGCTAACATCCGGGATTCTAAAAGCAGAATAAGTTTTTATAAAAGGCTTACTTTATCCCCAGTATATCTTGTTGATTAGTGAACAAAATTGGATTCTTTAACCCGGTCCTTCGAATATTTTCGTATGTAAATTCATTTGCATCCCATATAAAAACATCACCCTCGTTCGCAAAGCGCGGATCATGACACTTGGCTTCATAATCCACGTTGACTTGATTCCAAATAAACTCGGGAATAGGAGATTCACTAGACTGGCGCTTTTTTCCCTTCTTCTGATTTTTTGTTCTCGACTTGTCGGAGTTGTTTGGGCCGCGCTTTTTAGAATTCTTTTGGGGTTTTGGAAGCGGTTTATCGACTGGCTCGATAAACTCCTCCTCCATGTTAATGAACCTGAAACTATTAACAATAGAAACTTAAAGAAAAATAAACTGCGTGATGTAAGCGAGGAAGTGTGCATCGGCCAAAAAGAGAGAAAAGGATTTGCAAAAAGAGGAATATTATACGGTGAAAGGTTTAAACTAAAGATCTGCTTCAACGGCTGAGGTCAACTAAAGGTACGCTATTCCCTTCAATATGAAAATTTCTGTATGCAAAGATTATGTCATCGGCACAATAATTACTCCGCTGTCTTTTCTGCCAGAATAAAAAGCATCTCAAAATGTGTTGCAGAAAAACCTACGTGATATAACGTCTAATTATTATATGATTAGCCACAAGGAATACCTGATCTCACGTACCCTTTAAGATTGTGAATTAATTTGAATAAACGCGCACATTCGCCTATTGAAAAAAGGGTCGATAAAAGGCAGGGTAAAACTTGACCCACAAGAAAGCAAATGGACGGGTGTCTCTTTTTTGTGGTATTTCCAGGGGTGGTCAGCGGACCCTATTTTTCCGATTTTCGGCCCGCGGCCCGGCCCGCCTAATTACCGGCCCGGCCCGTCTAGTCTTTTTCCAGGCCCGGCCCGGCCCGTGAGTTTTGTGGTTTTATAATGGAACTATAGACTTGTAAACGTTTTAGAACTTGAGAAACAGCAACTATAACAACATCAATTAATTTTCCCGGCGCGAAAACAATGAATGCCAACGGTTTGGCATTGTAATTTAGACGGGCCGGGCCGGGCCGGAAAAAACCCCAGGCCCGCGGCCCGGCCCGGCCCGGCCCGGCCCGGCCCGTGACGGGCCCGGCCCGTTTGTAATTTTCCATTTTTGAGCCCGGCCGACTGACCACCCCTGGGTATTGCGAAGAACGCACTTACGGAATCCAGTTTATTTTACGGAATGCAAATGGTAATATTTAACACATAACATACTGTTCGTGTCATTTCGTGAATTTTGATGACGGACCTTACCCTGATTCTATTTCGGGGAAGGGGGATTAATTTCCAGAAGTACGGTATTCAAGAAACACTGTAATTTTTGTCAAAAAACGGATGATATTATGGGAAGGCTAGAACTTTAAGGTTCACTATGATTACACTTACACCTTTAAAACACAGGACGAAGGCTAACATCCTCAATTTATTATGAGCAAAAAAATTTGAGGGGACCTTTTTTGCTCTAATAGTAAATGCGAATTTGCCGATTTTTTCTCAACAATGCGCAACCCGAGAAAAGTTAATACAACTGCTGTACCGCGCACCTCTTAATGTAGAAAAAAATTAAACCAATAATGCTAGCAGCATTTTTTTTTTAAAGATCAGCACGATGCGGAAACTGGGAAACAGTATAGCATCGTCGGGACATGAAAACATCGTACTACTCTAATCAGGACTATAAAATTCGTGCCGATCCAAAAAAAGGTCATCATAAGACGAGACGAAAATTTTTTGCTGCGACGAACGGCCACTATTTTCCCGACAGACTGATATTTTATTTTAATTCTTCAAAATGCCGAAGGGCCCCAGTTTCATTTTATTTTCTTCAAAACCATAATTGCCGATTTTTATATCATCCCGTGAATGGGATACAAGAGATTCGCCAAACTTCTGATGTTTTGCATAACAATACACAATTCTGAATAGATTATAATACGAGACGTTCGCAAATTTTATGACACTTTGTGTTATAAAATCAGGCGAAGGGTGCATGGTGTACTCAAATCTTGCATTCGTAATGACAGGGCTCGCACTGTTGTTGGTAGTTACTAGTACCGTACTCGTCACCAAAAGTTATGCAACCGGTGGACCTGTTGTTGGGGGAATGTCAAAAGATGACGTTAATGATTCTAACATCATAGTAAGAATTCTGAAAGCCGATGAACATTATCTGTTCGTTTGGATTTATACTTTTCATTTAGGCCCTTGCTTACAAAAGCGTATTCAATTACAACGCCCAAAGGAATGGATATGCAGAACTGCAACAGATCGTCTCCGCTAAGCATCAAGTTGTGGCCGGTATTCGTTATGTCATCACTATGAATATTGCTGAGAACGGAATTAGATCACGTCTGGTTGCTGATATTGTCGTCGTACCCTGGCTGCAGCAGGAAACTTTTACCTTTAAGAAAACTCCTTTGCCCGTTAGGGTATCCTAATTGCGCAGGTTCTGTTTGTGCAATAAAAATCATGCAACTTTTAACCATTATATCTTTTATTATAATGCAGGGTGGGCCACTCAGAGCACCAACCTTATTTTAGGTATCTGTCAGCAAATACTGCTCCAATTTCTGTAAAATTTATGTAAAATGAGAGCTGAGGTGCTCCATTTTTCTACACCAACATTCCGATTCTTACGTTTACGGCATTACAGCATGAAATTTTGATTTCCAAAGTTTTTTCCCGATACCGATGGAACTTATTGTCATGGTTCTTAAATGATTTTCACAAATCAGTTTCTCGGGCATGAAAAGTTGTAAAATTTTAGGCTAACAAATTTTCCTTGTCTCCTGAGTTAACAGGCTTAATACATCGCAAAATTTTTAAATTTGAACAAATGTGTGGGGGTTTTTGCCTGCACGTCGACATGCACTCCGCAGATGCATAGCAAGTCTCGGGGCTTAGATTTCCTTAAAAAAAAACAATTTTTGCTACGGTGAAGTAAGTAAAGGCAGATTCATACTCGTATCCAATCATGCATTTGCAAGGTATTCGATTTGACAGTAGCAAAAAGACAGTGATCACACGAGTTCAGAATATACATGGTAAAGACGCGCACCTTGTATTAGTATATTTTGAAATTTTCAGACCTACTATTATAACACACATGATTTCTGTAAAATGAAGCCTCGCATCGAAGAGCATTGACAATTGAATAGAACAATAGATACTGCTTGATTAGTATTCAATTGATCCCAGGGATATCTATTATTTTCTATAATGATAATAGGTTGGCTGTTTACTGCCTTTGTTCGAAATTCATATGTCTTTATAAGTCCATCAAAACTTCGTTGGCCACATATTGACACCATTTTCTAGGATGTTTGTGAAAGTCACCGTTCTTGTTGTCTTGCTGTGCTTAGTCATGGGAAAGAAGAGTACTACTACAAAGCACTACTTAGGAGCATGGAGGGACAGAAATGTTAAGGATAAGGACGTCGTTGTACGTTGCTTTGGAATCTTCTTTGTCGTTTACAGTTTGTTTTTAATTCCACATTTTCAGGAGGCGGCTGATAAATCAGTCGCGGCGTATTCGAACCTCAAGCAAATGATGCACGGAGATTTTCGAATTGAGAAGGCACGTAGTCAAATCGTTAGTGGAATAAATTATGAACTGAGAATCGTTGTGCGGTTTCCTCACTTCAACGATTGCTATGTCGACAAAATGTATGAACAGCCCTGGACCAAGACCGAGAGACACTCGTTCAAGAATTGCACTTACAATTAACTTTATGCGAAATTACTTATTTTATACATATATCCTTATGCTTGAACTAATCGTAACTTTAAATAAATAAAAATTGCAAACTAATTATCCGACCATTAAAATACCCAGCATAAGTCATGTTAAAAAACTAAATGGCTTCCATATCCTAACCGAGGCATCATTTGTTTGTTTCCTTTACAAAAAAATTTACGAAAATTCAGTGTTGCTGTATAGTCAAAATCCTTATTGTATTACTCACAGTTCATCAAAATAATTATGCTCCTAAATGTGAGGAAACCATCAACTTGTTGGATTGGTAAGTGGACAGGAAAATATTTATGTAAGAAGAGTTAATTATCAGGTGGTGTTTATTATCACAGACGGAAATTGTCAACAACAGTGTCTGCAGGAGACTTACAGGAATATTTTTAACGTCGAACCTTACAACATAGTTTCTTTTGTGGCCCTTATGGATCAAGAATTGGCAAGACATATATACGTATATGCCTGGCAGTAACGAAAAGTGCTAAATTATTGTAACATATTTGGAGCTCTCTGTAACTACTCATCTTTCTTACAAAATCTGTTGTTATTTTTATTTGTAAACCCCGTTATAGAAAGCTTATAACTGGCTGTTTTGGAACAATAAATGCCATTTGTACCCCCTCCCTTTTTGCACGACACGGTCTGTTATTTCCGAATATGATGGAATATAATGCGCATGGAAATATGGAAAAGGGTCTACAAGCAGTCATGGCCACTGTTTTTGGCCCGTTTTTCTCGTCCCTCCGGACTCGGTTTTGGGAATGCCCTCAGGAAAAGTGGACATTCCAGGCTCTAGTTTTTGGGAAAAGGCGTTAAATGGAAAGAAAATTTGGACGACGGGAGTTTTTTTGCATGCGGGGCAATAGTTCTGAAAATGACTGGTAACTTGTAACGTGAGGAAGGGACACACATTACAAATTATCATCTACAGAACTTATATGGGACTTGAATGCTGTAGATGAAGCTGTAACCCTTCAATGTCTCTTATGCAGTCCACAATCATAATAATTTGTATTATGATTAATAACATGAGCTCTCATCCTCCTGATCTCCCACATAAATCATCCTCGACCACCCAATCCCGTTCAGATTTTGTAACAAATTTCTCCGTAGGGATGCTGCCGTCTTCTTTGCCTATGGAACACACCGATTTGTCAAGATGTTGCCGGAAAAGAGTCCCATCGTTATACGGGGAGTGACAGTGACTTCTCTGAAAAACACTTCTTTTCAGTCTGGATTACACTTTTTTTGGGACTGCGTTTCCGATGCTTTATGCGTCTTTTTATGGGACTGTTTTTGGCCAAGTTTATTGTCCAAAATTTGAAGTCACATGAACCAGACAGCAGACAATATTTTCGCAAAATTGAAATTGACTTGGCTGAGAACAGTATTACATTTAATGGTCTACATAGAGTTGTTCATTATGCTTGGCGGAGGTCTCCAAGGATGAGGACTCAAATTGCACTTTGATGTTTGCTTTTGAAACCATTTCGAATTGCTTGGACTCTGCATATTGTCTGGCCTTGGACCGTCTAGCATGTCTAATACTATAGATTTTGTATTTATAAAATGGTCGTATTTCGCACCACAAAGATCAATGACAGACCTTGTGTTGCGAAAAGGCGAATAGGAAAAAAATAATTTGAGAATTTCTAAAATTCTGATTTTGATTTGTTGACTAGCCAAGTTCCCGATGTGCTCACCAAAAGACCCATTTGGGCATTGGTGACCCGATGGAAACTCGATAGAAATGGTCCGCGGGTTTTTTATAGGGTGGAATGGGTCCATTGAAGATTTGGCTAGGCAAGGTAAAACGAGAAATTTCTTGATTCCCGAATCCTTTTTTCTCGCTTGACGACGCCTTAATTCATGACAAACTTTTTTTTGGCTGTTCAACCCTATTCTGTCTTTTGTCACATCATTTCTAGTACTCTGATGCATACATGTATTGGTGCCGAAGATGCCATATTTTTTCTTGATATCCATAAAGATTACAGTAATTTTTGAAGTGCGGTTATAATTACGACCCACACTGTATGCTGCAAAATTGTGCAAAACGTCGTTTAAGTTCAAATTCGGCCCACACCTTTTCGGAAAATGCAAATTGTTGTTTCCAATTTTATTTGAATTTAAATTTCGGCACAAACAAAGAAAGCGGCTTTTAGCGGTGGAAGTTTCGAATTACGCGAATTTATTGAGCCCTTTTTCGTTTCGGGTTTTAAATACTCTTGTTATCGTAACCTTTGAAAGCATTTTGTCATTTGAAAAGAACATAAAACATGCAAAAGTTTTAAGTTTTTCGTTGGAAGTCAAATGGTCCTCCATTTTTTTGACACAAAAGACGTCAAAATCGGCGTTGTTCTGTTCCGTTTTGTGCCGAAGGCTTCCCAAAAGGCCGACAAATATTCTAAAAAGTTTGAAATGATGTCATTGATGGGTTTGTTTACAACGCATCTGGAATTAACAAATTTTTTTAAATGAGGGATTGGCATTTTTTGGGAATGTTTGTCATTGTTTTGGGACATCGGTGGCGATAAGAGATTAAAGTTACTTATAAAATTTAAAAAATTAAACTTGCTTAGAATAATTGTTTGAATTTTTAAGCAGCAAAGTTTTGTAAATTTCCTCTTCAAGGTATTTTCTCTGCATGAAACAGCCAACTTTGCTGTTCAAGTCTTCCCTTTTGTATTATTAAAAAAGCACTTTCGACCCTTATCTCCTTAAACTACACTTCTTTTCTCGTTTTTGTTATAATCTCGACTCATTTTCTGTATCGTTTTTATATTATACAAGCCCACCCTCTTTCAAAGTTGATTTAAATTGCAGACCAACGTCAAAAATCTTGCATTTACCCCAGGATCTTAATTTTTGGGCATTTTATTATGAAAAAACACGAAATGCCGCCGACGGAAAACATTCGCCTTCAGGCATCGGAATTTGTTTTTCGTAACTTCTGTTCGGAACATTATGCATTGTAAAGAGACAAGTTCTTGCATTTCAAATTCGATCCCAAGTAATTGTGTTGACCAAAAAATGTATGAGAAATTGCTGTTGTACATGGCTATGTCCTCTTCCCCGAGATTGATTGTTTATTTTTGTTAGGCCTTAACTCAATCCCTGCTAAATCTTGAGTTCATTGAGTATACCCGTTTTATCGCCTCGATATAAAGGATACGACATAAAGCGAGGTTAAAATGGACTTGGACGGGCCGGAAACGCATTCTATAAATTACATTTTCCTCGCTTCCTTTATAAGAAGAGCAAAAACAGTGAACGGCGGCCTTTTATTTGATATTATTTGAATAATAGGGCGTACAGCCTTGCCCAAAGGGTGGGCGGAGGCTTGCTGCGTGAATAAAATAAATCTTTTTAACCGGCCGGATCTTGGGAGCCCTTAGGAAATCGGGAAGGGGTAACCTGATTCCTAATTTAATCTCTCAAAGCTACAATCGACTTCAAATATTCGAGAAATACGGTTTTTCTTTTTTCCTGCCATGAACATCGTTGAATGCCAATTTATTTTCTATTAATTTTGGCATTCCGTCTCAATTTTTTGTGTCGTTTTCGATGAAATTCGTTTATGCAGCAAAATCCCGTCTGTTCTCGAGATCTCGTGATGTTTTAGCGTCGAAATTAATTAATTTAATTGTGAATTTTGAGTGTAATAGCCGGCGAGGAGAAGAACCGCGAGAACAACATCAACTTTGGCCGGCGTTTATCTTCTCCTTCGTGGTTGGAGCAGTATTGGACCTCTCTTGGCAGTAAGATGAATCCAGAACCTGTCAATGGGGTTTATGAGCCGAATGTTGCGAATTTGAACATGTGTGAGGGACAAACAACCAACTCGACGTCATCTATATCTTCATCCACAGCCACTGTCAACTCGGAGCCAAATACGGCGAGATTGCATTCATGGGTTAGACTGAATGTTGGTGGCAAAGTAAGTTTTAGAATTTTTGATTTTTCATGTTTAGGGTGGGGTGGCATTTGGCAAATGGGTCTTTACGGTTTGCAAGAAGTGATTATTTCAAAGTTGGCAGATTTTTCGGAAGCGTTTGTTTCTACTAATCAAAATTTTAATAATTACGTTGATAAGTTTGTTAATTTTGTTGTTTTAGGTGTTCATGACCACTCGCCAGACCTTATGTAGAGAACCAAATTCATTTCTTGCCAGATTATGTCAAAACGACGAGTTATTAACGAGTGAAAAGGATGAAACTGGTGCTTTTTTAATTGACCGAGACGCAGAGTACTTCTCCTCGGTCTTGAATTTCCTTAGGCATGGTAAATTGATCTTGGATAAAGGGCTGTCAGAAGAAGGTAATTTTTAAAATTGTTCATTGGTTTTTAGATACAGCACTGTTGCCATAACTCCTTCTTTACTTGCATTGCTTCAGTTTCATAATTTGGTTGTTTTAGGTCTGATAGAAGAAGCAGAATTCTACAACATTCCTCATTTGATATCTCTATGTCAAGAACGTCTTATTGAGAGATCAAAAAAATTAACGAAACACGTGTACAGGGTCTTGCAATGTCATGAAGATGAGGTCACTAATGTGGTCTCGGCAATGTCGGATGGTTGGAAGTTCGAACAGGTAATTTATTTTTATTTTATCTTTTTAGGTAACAAATCTTTTTTCAAATTTCTTTGTTATGGATAAAAGCGATGCAATTACATATTGTTTGTTTTCAGCTGGTCCCAATCAGCCACTTCCACACCAGTGATAACCACGAATATCTTTGTGTGGTCTCCCGAGAATATCCGGATGCTGTTCCGCACTGTGCAACCATCGAAACGGATCGAGCGCAATTTCTACAGAAGAAGGCTATGCGTAAGTTTTGGTTACTTTTCAAGGAGACATTTTTTATTACATTGTTCTGTTCTACAAAGAAGTTTTATGTTTTCAGAGAACTGATTGATCTACGCTCACCCGAGATTCCCCTTGCAAAATTTTAATTTCTGCTTCCTGCGGACAAACGGTTTTTATTTTGTTGTTCTCCATCTTCCAATATGTATAATTTGTTGTGAATCTTTTGTAGAAGTTAGTAATCTGCATAAGTGTAAGTCATTCCAATCAAAAACTGTTTTATTTTATCCATGGTCAGAAGTTTCTTTCATTTTTTCTTTGTCCAAGTTGGGTTTTGTGGGCGCAGCTCGCTGTATATATCTTACAAAATTGGATTGAAGATAGGTCTGTTGTTGATGGAGAACAAGTATTTAGTTGATGCACGCCTATTCTTTCCATCGGCTATATTTATTTTCGTTTAGGTTGTAAGACCCCCTGCATTGTACAGTTAGTGCCGAGTCACGCGTTTGAGCAATTTTTTTGTATCTCTGATTTTGCATCATTTTTACAAGCTTTCTTAATGGTAATATATTATATTTTCATATGCTGGTCTTATAATATGTTAAGGTTATATAAAGAGTTAATATTTGATTTTGGGAACGGAAATGTGTATTAGGGACTTGGAAATCTGGAAGAAAGGGTTCCAGCGGACGTTCAGGCATGACCTTTGGTAGTAAAAGTAGTCGTTTCTTTGGGTAATTCCAATATAAATAATGGTTTATCGGCGAAAACAAGAGTTTTTCTTTGAACGTAATATTGGCACGATACTTCAAATTGGATCACGCAGTTAACATCACGAATGCAGGCCGTTATGTGTATCATAAATGGGTTCATATCGTTTTTTAAACGAATGTAACATTTAAATTTGTTCTTTTATCTGTGCCGGGGAAATACGAATTCTACATTTTCTACTTTCCACTTTTTATTTATTTTTAGCTTTTCACGAGATTGTAGGTTTAAACATAAAGTGCTCAAGTGGGGGATGTGTTGAGTTAATCGGTGATGTAATTGTAAGGAGGCTCTACAAGAATAAGTGTGATAGAAATTTTTTAATGTAAAAGTATTTTGTGGTTTTCTGTCATGTCATAACACTTTTTTGCTGTATTTGCAATTTCTCATTGATCGAAAAAAATCGCGGGTTAAATGAGACAAACGTTTTAATGGCTTGTATCCGGTCTCATTAAGAGTTAGTAAGGTTCCCTAAGGTGTAATAAAAGGTTATACCACATGTTTTACCATTGTTCTTAAACGTTTATCTCGGTGATTCTGCATCATGCCTCTCCTAAATTTAAAGTTGATTATCAGAAAATGTTCCGACCGTTACGTCATTTTATAGTTAGTATAACATATGTATATTTACGTTAGAAGAACTTGTTTCCTTTGCATGTTCAGGCATTAAATTTCAGAAAGATGTAGGTGTTTTAAGATTAAATTTAAAGAGATATTTCAATTGTGTATCATGGGCAATTTTAATTGGACAGTAAATTAACAAGGTAAACGTTTACGGTGGGCGGTTCGTTAATGAAATTTGAATTTATGCAAATTGAACATTCCCATAGTCGTCTGTTTCGATTAGTACGCAACATTCAAGACTGTTGTTTTCTTAGTTCTCTGTTCCAAAACTTAAGCCACTGAATATTATATTATGTCATAAAAACTACAAATTTTTCGATAATAAACAACTCATTCCTTCCCAAACTTCGTTTAAGTATGCCGCCGTTAATTAAGTTACTAACTCAGACGTTCTTTTCTGTGTTCTCTAATATTTTTCCGACAAGGATATTTTGCATTACTAAATTCGTTTTCTGTGATCACGCTTATTAACTTTTTGGATCCACTAAGCAGTAATTGCTTTAGATCCCTTGAGAATCTCTAAAGCCATGATATTTAAATAAACATGAAATCTCATGTTGGTTATTGCTTTTGGGCGTAGGAAGACGGAGAGGTCTGAGTGCTGTTGTGAGTCTTCTTCGGCTAAAGGTTTGGTGGGCCCAGAAGCTCTGGCATCATGGATATGGGCAACCTGGATATTAACAGTAAGTTTTCTGCAATGTGCTTCAATATTTTACGCTTGAACGGACAGACTGTTTAATTTCAAATTTTCGAATTGTTTGTAATTTTGTAAATAAGATACACAGTCCGCGAGGGGAACCAGTGGCCAAAAGCGCCTCCCTTTACCTTTAATATGGAGAGGGAGACACTCAATCCCCCATGAAATTGCAGTTTAAGTAGAAAAAACAATGCTATTTTCGGTCACAGAGAGATTTATTTATTGACATTCGGAATGCCTCTTTGAGGCAATCGGAGGCACTTTTGGCCACTGGATCATGTCCGCATTGCAGAAAATGTTTAAAATAAAGTATTTTGCTTGTTGTTGATAAAGATTTTACACTGTATAGTAACCTGCCTAGTGTCTAAAATACGATGGCTACCGTTGATTGTGCCCGAAGAAGAGCAGCATTGGGTGAAGTGGCTGACAATCTTCTCTATTACTCAACAAAGCATGTTCATCGCAGCCACCATTCTTAACTTCTACTTCTTTTATCGGGTCAAACACGCCACTTCTATTCACGTCAATTTTCGAATTATTTTGGTAAGCATTGTTCTACAATTTGCATCATTATTTTGTATTCATATTGTAGCGTTAAGGTTCATATTTTATGTTTAATTCGATGATTTTTATTTTTAAGTGTTGTACATCAATTGCTTTCCAATTAAACACCGGATCCCATTTTATTCTCCACAAAATTCTGGAATATACCGAACACGTAGAAGATCGCTTTATACCTAATGTATTAGCTTACATTTGTTGTAATATCCATATGATCAATGTCTTTGGAGCTGCCACTTGTATGAATATGATTGCTCTGGAACAACATCTGGCGACTATTTGGGTGGAGAATTATGAGCAAAAGACGAAGAAGATTGGAGTAATTCTTATGTTGCTTGTGGTAAGTCAGAAAATTTACACGGATAGCAGAAAGAGATATATCGGTAATTTATGTATACATATATGTGCACATGTTCAAATTTTTTCAAATTTCAGGCAGCTCAATGCATCCCAACAGGATTGTTTTACCAAAATACCCTTGTCACTCGATGGGATTTCCACACAACTTATAATTCATGTCTTCTGCCCGATATCAACCCACAAGTCGGTTTCCAATCGTTTCTTCTAGGGTTTATCACACTTTCTGGATGTTCTGTGGTAGGCGGCTTTTTTTATGACAATTTCGTGGCACAAGCTAGCCATTTTCAAAGTTGCTGGTTGCATTTTTACCCTTTATTTTTAGTGGCTGATGGCGTTGCGTCATATAAATGAAAAACGGATGAGAAGTCGACTTGCCCTGACCAGTTTGAGTGCTCGGTTTCAACAGACCAAAAACTCTGAAAACACGGCTTCAATCACTCCTTCCATGATTGGCTATGCTGTCTTGGCCGTCTCTGGTTTATTTATTGAAGGAGCCAGAATTAAACTTAACAACTACGCTTGTGTTCAGGACAGAATCTTGCTGAAGGTAAGCGAATTATCTTCCATTTGGCCTCACGTTTCTACCTTTCACATGACATCTTTGAATTGCAGTGGGTATTCATTGTGATGGACGGCTACGCTCTCTACCACAACTTCTGTTTCCTCTATTATAATCACTCCACTCGCCGAGAAGTTCTTCGAGATTTAGAACGAATTTTTGGCTGGGATATGCGCCACAAAGCGAACGTCGTCAAAACAAACAGTGCCATTGGAGAGCAGGCAGCAGAAACCTACTTCAATAACTTTGGGTGGTGACTCTACTGATCTTTTCCGCAGACTCCCATAATTTATATTTTGACCTCTCTGATTTTTTCCGAATAAAACCTGTAAATAAAAGAATAATTGACTAAACTACTATAGAGTACGTAGTATGGTGACCATTCGTTGGCGATGATTTAACCCCCAGGAGATCTCATTTTGAAAGATGAAGGTTCATTGACGTGATTACAACAAATGAGGGGGACTTTAGTTATGAATCAGAATTATCTTGAAGGTAAGATTAACCCTCCAGGGAGAGGTTGGGTGAATAATAAAAGGATGTCTGCAGGTGTCTGTAATTGCTTTTAACGGTGCTCAGCTTATGTAAAATAAATTGAGCATAGAGAAAAGGAAACGAGGAATATTGGCTAGTCCTGCATTTGGTGATATTACGGTACCTTATCTTTAACTTATATGCATACTGGCAATATTCCGAGTTATTTCCCGCGTCTATTTGCCAAAGAAATTAGACGGAACAACAAGATGTATTAGCTTCTCATTTGACCGAACGCGCTGTTGCTAATGAGATACGAGGGCATTTCTCCAAACATGGATTACAAATATGGCGCAGGGATTATGCTAATAAACACGGTGGGAAACAATGTCATGAACTCGGGTAAGGCAAACATATACCGATACTGTAATAATACATTAGTTTAGAGGCATCCTATTAGAATTTCAAAAACTTGAATGAAATGAATAATACCGTGATCTTTAGAAGAACTAAAACTTATCAAGTCAAACAGTTGTATCAAAACGGCTTTATCTGAGAGTAATCCAATATCCTATTCACAGTGCATGACCTGATTGCGCAAACTTATGCATAGCCAAACTTTTGACGCACCCATCCGAAAAAAGACGGTAAATAATCGGACTAAGGCATGATATGGGCATAACCTAGACTTCTTAGGTTTGGATTGCGCAATATTAAGCAAGCACTGGGCTTTTTGTGTCATCATTAGATATCATGTTTCTGCAGTTAATAGAAGTTGAACAACCTTACTTTTATGAATTTCTAGCGATAGATTCTGAATTGTAGAGTAAGGAATCAAAGTCCGTCTCTTGAATTTTGGGTGTTTCCCGCTGCTTCACAAAGAATTCGGTGCAATCCAAACAGAAACGAACATTTACCCATTATCTATTCAATTGTAAATCGACACCGGTCTTCTTTACACACAAATTCGCGCACTTCTTTCACAATAACAGAGAAAGAAAAAGAGAGAGAGATGGGAAAGAATTCGGTGTCAATGACAACAACATATCTACCGCGCATAAAAACGAGGGATAAAGCGGTACTTTCTAAAGCTGAAACAATCTTCTTCATTAAACAAAGCATTCAAAACATTAGGTTTTGAACACTTTGTTCTGTGTAACATTACTCAACCAATACTTTACTTCTTCCTACAGTACCCACGCCTCCTCAGATTTTCTATTTTCGGCAACTCAGATGTCTTCAATTCAATTGGATTGGCAATGGATATACGAACAAACAAACTCTACTCTGACATGGCGACATCTTAAGTGCAGGAAATGAAGAAGAACCACCTCTTTATATGGATTAGAGCGGTTTAATCGACTTCTTGATATGTCAAATAAAATATTTTGTTTGTCGACCTGCTCGAGTTGATATTTATAAGTTCATACATAAGAGTGAGCTGACCGGCGTGGATATTCTACAAGTTCGGGTGCGGCGGATTGGTAGATGAAGTACAGTGTAGAGTAGAAGCAGCTTGGAAGAGTTTTGAGGATTTTGCCCTAGCTTTTAGAAAGATTTTCTGATGTCGGGTTTTGAGCCATGCTCTTATGGTAAATTGCAATTTTACTCCTGAACTTTGGCTTCAATCCTCCCTAAAAATCAAATCTCCATCATCTGATTACAGCACAATTTCAGTGCATTTGAGTGTGACTGTTTGCTCATTATTGTCTTTTCTCGAATGAAGGTGGGCCAAGTGAATAAGGGGCAGGGCGATACGGTGCGGACAAGCAACCATTAGGTTATTCGGAGCGGGAAAAGCGATCCCCCGATCTCTTGGGCTCTTCGTGCTCTCGGGAAGATCATCAGGTCGCTGTACTGTATTTAGGTGGGGAGTTTCAAGGTGTAAGATATATGGAGCTTTATTGAACGATAGGGAATACATCGGTTTTTCTCGTGGCTCAAATTGCGGTTGATTTAATCAGACACTTAAAAGTAAATCTATAGAAACTACCCCCGGTCCTGTTCATCATGTCGGATTGTGGCGGATTCTCAATAACCGAGATCCTCAACGATCCCAAATCCCCGGATTCGATTGTGAACGACTCTACTGACATTGATCAACCGTCTCCTAGGACCAGCGCCTCATCCCCTTTATCAGCCAGTCAATTATCACCTCATCCATCCCCGGAAACACCCCAAGCTGGCGCCCTACCTAATTTGAATCCTTTTTTTATGCATCAAATGGCTGCACTATGTGCTGCAGCTAGCCAGAAGCAGGGAAATTTGGGAGCTATAATGATGGCAGCACAACAACAGCAAGCTCAGGCTAGGATTGGTGGAGCCGGGCCAAGCCAAATGGGGATGCCAGCTGAATGGTGCGCGGCTTATGCGAACATGCAACGACAAATGAGCTTCGGAAGTGGGCAAGGTAAGAATTTTGACCGGCTTCTGGGAAAAACGTGCTAAATCTGGTGTTCTTGATTTCAGCTATATTCGAGGCTTAACTTTAAAAACATCAAACTCATTTCTTCGAATACCGATAGTACAGTTCAAACATATAGATTTCAGCCCGACACTCTTAATTCCCCTTTGTCTTTTACCGCACAGCCACTTAACCTGAGCGTAAGCGGCTTAATTTACTTCTATTAGAGTCAAAACATAATCGGGAGATCTCTTTATGAATTCGTTCTTTAATTTGAGAGGCCAACATGGCATCCAATCAAAAGACATCAGAACGGGCTTAGCGCTGTTAGGAAGGGTTTTTATTACGTAATAGAATTAAACCAATTTAGGTAAAAAATGCCGAACAAATTTTAAAAGAAGAGCAAAGGGGATATTAGTACTAATCACTGACCAAATTGAATATATTTTGGTAATTTGAAATTTTTTGGAAAGGAAGGTGCAAGAGGTTTAGACAGTATATTGAACAAGAACAAAGTATCTGAGCGCTGGCCGTTGATTGGCCAGCTTTCCGCCTGCCCAAAGTAAACAAACAGGCCTGGAATAGACGGGAAAACGCTAAATGTCTACGCAATATGACTAGATAAATCGCAACGATTTGAAAACCATTTTTTAGAATTTTTAATGTTTCAGGATGGGATCCTCGACAAGTTGCGTGGATGCAAAATATGAACACCAAGATCTCGCACAAAAGAAAAGGAGGGCAGATCCGCTTCACAAACGAGCAAACCGACTCTCTGGAAACCACCTTCGATAAAAACAAATATTTGACAAATCCACAACGGAGACAATTAGCAAAGAAATTGCAATTGAGCGAGCGGCAGGTTAGTCTTTCACCTTTGGTGACATTGAACCCATCTTTAAACATTTGTATTAACTGTAGGCCAGATTATTAAACGTTGATTTCTAGGTGAAAACTTGGTTCCAAAACCGTCGAGCCAAATGGCGTCGAGTCCGTAAAGATGGAGACGAGGAAGAAGATTTAGCTCACTCGATACACTCCAACAACCCCTTTAATCAACGTCTCCAGTCGATGCCTTCCCTCTCCTCACCCAACTCCCCTAATCCATCAACTCAATTCATCAAGAATTTCCCTCATTCAGGCTCTGCAAATGTTTTAAATCTGAGTGAAATCGCTGGCAGTGGCTCTTTGAGTGCCTTAGGAAACGCAAACTTCATTGATCTGTTCAAGTCTAAATAATCTTTTACCCTTTGTTAAGACGCCTTGCTTTATTAGATGAATACACCTCTGACCTCACCGTGACTCAGTTTATGATTTGTTTAGTCTGTAAGGCGATGAATCGCCCATTAATTCCCATAAAGAATATAAAGATCAGTGGCCAAGATAAGGGATCGTTTGTTTTAATCAAAACAACATGGTTTCCGGGTCGGGGAAGGCGCTAAAGATACAATACTGGTGGAAAGAATTCTCACTTGCATTATAATTGAAATACACGGTATCCATCCCGGAAACTTATGCTAAGGGGGATATAAGGGGTATTGTAATATGACCGTTCAAACTCTCCAATTCTGTGCAGTGTCTTGTTGCAATCTCTTGTTTGCAACGCCTTCGTATCTTCGGGCTCTTGGCTTCGCTCCAAAGAAGTCTGCATTCATGACATGAACCCTTCAAGTCGATGTCATAACTATAACATTACTGTTTTTCACGTTCAGGATGATCGAAATAATTGAGTATTCGTGCCCACCGAAAAGTGATGACAAGACAAATAATATCTGACGCTTCCCGTGGGTTTATTGTTTGAATAAGGCGAAGGATATGACATCTTCAATTTCCCCTGCCCCTCTCGTATGAGAGAATGGTGGGAATCGGCCGAAATTTTAAACACCTAGCCGGCACATCATCCGGTAGATATTCGGTGGGTTGGGTACGTTGTGGGCAGTTTATTTTGGGGTTTCTCTTCAAGTGTCACCACGTTTTTTCGCGAGCCAAAAGTCAATACAGATTCTATTTTCATTACTTTCTTTAGGGGTAATGGAATCTCCGGAAGACCCCATTTTTAGCCTGGCTAGACCCTTCAAAATCGAATATAAATTCTGAATTATCTCGGATACAGTACTTCTTTGTGTACTATTATTTATGAACTCCTTGATTCATTATTGCCGATATACCGAGAACAAGCACGTCTTTTGGTGGTCATAAAGACGATTCTTATGCACATTCGCCTTCCTTAATTGTTTCTGCGTGGTCGAGCGTGTCTGATGAATATCCGAATTAAGTCTACCCCTTCTGGAACACATTTCTCTTCCTTCTGATCTCTAAAACAACAATACCATTATCTCCACTCTTACCTTTCCCTTAATCCAATTACTTCCATAAATCCGTTTCCGCGCGGTCACTCTCTCCCTCGCCCCTTCCCCTTTCGAACTTCTTTTAAATTCCATAACCCGGCTCACTTGATCGAAGAAAAACTTGATGGGAAGACGTCATATGCCGATCATGATTAATTTACTCAAAATGACGGTATTGCTTTCATCTCTTTGTAAGACGATTATACTTTGTTCTGGATGGGATTGGCCTCCTTGACAAAGAAGATGACGCGTTTTGCGGGATATTAGTGGTAGAAAAATCATGATATACTCACTGCTAACCCGCTTATTCAAGGGAATAACAATTAGAATTAGGCAATATTGTAAAAGAAATATTTTGAAGAGTGGTTTGGACCATTATGAATATCAAATCACTACTTTTTGCTAATTGCAATATAGTTTGTTACCAGTTGTTATTAAAATGTTTCCCTTCCCAATTGTTGTCTAAAACGCCATAAGATCGCATTGACAAGACTACATTTCTACCCCTTTTGGTTACTTCAGTATCATCACTTTGGCGTCCAACTATGTCCTCATTATCGTTTCTGAAACATTTTTTCATCGAAACCGTTCCCACGTTCTTTGAAATGCCGTCAATGATGATGTAACGATCTACAGTTCACCTTTTTACTGCCTTGTTTATCGTTGTAAATTCCCAAACTTCTGGACCAATCACATAAAGAATCCGTGGTCGTTCAGCTTGTGATCCATTCTGAGATGAATGGCAACAATTCAGCTGAGTGTTGCGTGATTCCTTACAATTTTTGAATGTATGTTTTCATTGATTTTGCGTGGCGACTGCATATAATAGCTTTAAAAAAATTACAATGGGCCTTATGAGGTAGTCTCCTTTATTTTTAAAAGTCAAAGTTTCAAGATTTGACCTTGATGATGTAATCATCGACCGTTTTCTTCACAAATAGCTGGGGGCTATTATGAACATATAAAGTTTACAGCGAGAAATGATTTCCTTTCCTTTCGGAGGTAATTTCTTTGCAATCATGTTTACTTCGAGTCGTATGTTCTGGATTAAAGTCAAGGGGGTGGTGCCAAAGAAATGATCGTATTTATAAATGAGGGTGAATGAGTTGGAGGGTGCAGCAATACTTGCATTTGCCTTGTGTTCATAGACCCAAATGTTATGACTTTACGTTTAGTTCAGATAGGGATAGTGATTATTGGGACGGCCATCTATTTCAACATATTAGGTTGATCTTCCAATAGAGCCGATGTAATTGTAAAGTAAGGCTATTAATGGCATCATCCTTTCATTCTTCGAGTACATCACACCTTCAATTTCTTTGTATAATTTGTGTTGTAGTTTTAATCTCTTATATATTGAGTGCCATTATTGGCAAGTTTTACTGTTACGGTTTATTCGAAAAAGATCTTTTGTTCTTATTTACGTATCTCTGTATATGTATATATACAATAATAAATACATCACTCTTGTCATATTTGAATTCAAATGCGTCACTAAGCATGGCAAGCCACTTCTTAACTATTTTAAAGTAGGTAAGATGAATGTCAGCTGGAAATGGTTTATGCTCTAAAAACTTTATTTGTTTTGATAATAAATAGTTCAACAGCTTTGACTGTAGTTAGTCTTTGGATTTGCTACCAAATTACAGTATCCCTTGATTACAAAAAGGGAAACCTTTGACTTAATGTTTGATTTCTGCGTATATGTCTTGCAGCCAGACGATCACCGGTTGTATGCCGTTGTCGACGCAATGACCAATTTTTGGAACTGATGGCATTTAATTGGCTTACTCTGCTAAATGCAAAGAGAAATGGGCTTAAATGTGGGGTAGTAAATAGTATTAGATTAACTAAAAAACAAGTGTGTCGCAGTTGTCTACGTATTTCTTTGAAGTAGGAGTAAATGTTGTACGACTTATGTTTTTGAGCTTACTACGTATTCGTCCCTACGTGTAATCTCTTTGTATTGGCGATTCCTTAAATCTTATTCTAATTCTTTCAATTGGTAATCCCAAGGAATGTTTTGAAATCCTGAATGAGCGTGACTACTCAAGTAGAAACGAAATAAATTGGAAGTTAATCTTGTAGACCCTATCTTACATAGGTACTACATGTATAATGTAAACGAACTACACACCTCTCTATCTCTATTTCTTTCTTTTTCTGTTCTTTCCACGATTAGTGTAGAATTTTTCTTTACTAGACAAATATTACGGTAGTACACCACCCTCTCAACCCAATGATGACATATTTTGGGAGTGTCTGAGACTCGGGTTTAAAAGAAGAATGAGATCATCCCAATATATTATTCATGACAAATCCGTTCCACTTTTTGCCTTTTTTTGGAACAATGTTAAGAAAATCTAAAGGTTTACAACTACCCTAAAGGTAAAACTACTGTCTTGTTGATAACGTCTTTGGGCGTAAACACGAAGATTTCTCAAATTAAGGGCCTGCAGATCTCCTAAATATTTTTGTTCAAATCAACGATTCAGCTGACTTTCTTTAGGTAAACATCATTATTTATATAAAAAACACACCTTTAAGGAGCTCCTTAGAATATTAAACGTTTTGTAACATTTCGCGTTGTTAAAAGTATTAGGTTGATTCAAAAGTTTTTCCACATTTTTTTGAGACACTTCAAACTAAAATTCCTGGAGCCTGATTGAATGTACGTTAAAACTGAAAGCATAGATGTATGGGGCAGAACATTGCAAAATTTTTGATTCGCAGCATTTTATTTTCTACAAGCTTCCTTTCAGAATATTTCAAAAATACTAAAAATTTCTCCGTTTGTGTCATGGTGAATATCCCGGGCCCTAGCAATTTTCCAGCCCACTAAAAAGTCTCGGGTTTTGGGTTATTCGTACTGGGGATGGCTGTAGTTTCTTCTGAATTTATTGCTCTACTTATATCTACACTGACGTTTTTTGTAGCATCCCATAAAGTTGGCCGAAGAGCCGAGCTACCGTTCAAAAGCAGATTTTTAAAATTTTTTTGAAAGGAGTTAGACTTTTTTGACTCGGCTGCCATTCAGGTTGTACAAAGACAGTATGCTGATGATACATTCAAAAAGTCACCAACTGAAATTGCCTTATAAGGTAGAAAAGCAGCATAAACTGCACTTTTAGACGAATTTTTGTAATTTTTTACTGGTATGGCAAGAGGACCTTCAGCTTAGCGCGTCTAGCAACTGATAGTGTATGTCAAGTAGGATCAATTATTTATTAAATAACTAGGATACCGGGCGAGAGTAATGAACAGAAAACGTTTTTGTAAAAATCCCCTAAATTTCATAAAATATTGGTAGATTAGAAAGATTCGATTTTTCTGCCGCATAGCTAAAGCTAACGCGAATGTTTAGCACTGGCGTTGTAGTGCTACTCATACACTACAATAACAGAAAGCGTTATCTCTTAGTGCTTCTAATAGCTGCGTCTACAGGGTCTACTTTTGCCAGACCCTAATTTTTGATTTTTCGCACTAAAAATTTTTCGACTAGCCCTATAGCAAATTGTCCTCGATGCCATAGAGATTACATACAGGCATACCATATTCTAGAATATTAAGAAGATACAGCCACTCTAGACGTAACGCCGGCGGTTTACTTTTTCTTCCTTCGAGTAGTTAAGGTTTAACACGGCGCTACTACTACAAATTGCTAAGTTGTAAAAAGTTATTAATCTACTATAATCTACAAACAGCCCTCTCTCTAACAAGATATATATCAGGCCCACTGGCTTTGGTCTAAATTTTTTTAAACTTTTTAAAGACATGTGGAAAAACTTTTGAATCAACCTAATACTTTGTGAAAGTTTATATTAAACCGTTGCAGGTGAAACTTGTATTTTGAATTCTTATGTATTCATCTTTTACTTTTTGAAATGGGTCTGGGCAATCAGCAATCTTTCCCTTGAGCTTCTCGAAATGGCCTCGTCTGGTTTTAAGTGACTTGTCTTTGTTACAAACAAATGTTAAGGTGAAAGTCCGATCAAAAATCTGACGCTAAAACTGGTTGTAACTTCTCGTTAAAAAAACATTTTCGATTAATCTTCCACTAGATCTCTCCATTCAACTTCTGATTGTGATCAAGTGCAAATGTCACACTTGTAATACGTTACTTTAATGGTCACTTAGTTATTTCGTCTGTGCTGGAACAATTGCTTGCTTTTCATAACGATTAGTTACATAATTCTGAGAATTGTCTAGTGGTGTGATTGTTAGTTACCTTCTGCTTATTGTTGTTACATTTCCGTTTTCCCAATTTTATTATTTTTGAAAGCTCTTGGGCAATGTACATAAACGTGAATCCCACGTGTTTTCTTTTTCGTCCTTTCTTTCCAACACTTCCTTCGCAATTCCGTCGATGTAAACGCCTTAAGAGCCAACCCTAAATTTTTTGCAATATTTTGGTCGTTGATTGTTCCCGGTAAAAGATTCCCTCCGGGTACAGCAGATTCGACCTGTGATGATTTATTGGTTTTGTAATTTGGAAAAGTATCAAAAACAACCTTAATTCATCGTTGTTCTTCGCGGGCGTGGTGTGACAACATGTAGGAGTGAGCCGGGTTTCTAAGTAAATAACTAAAAACACGCGGTTTATTCTTTTATAATATTCTCAGTGGTGGTCGTCTTGAGGTGTTCGTACTTTCTGTCGGCTTATATTGTATTCTAAATGCCACCGGTTAAACTCTGTTCGAGCAATGTAATCGGCTGTAAAGAGCGGCGTACACTTAACAATTACTCATACGTATTATGGGTTGTAGGGGCTTAATTTGAGGCTGTATTGTGCCGGGGTGTCCTTGCGGCTACAGAATGTTGTTTTGACTCTTTAATCATTGAGTTCGTGGCTTCAGGGGATTATTATAATTATAGAATTCCAGAATATATTCTTTGTATTAATTTCCCTTCTTGTAATTCTTCTCGTTTTGATTACGGTAATTACCTGCTTCTTTCAACAATACTGATTGTGCTGAACCAACCACAAACTTCAAGTCCTTGTAAACTTCCTACTGTACGATTAACATAATTTAGTCGTAATTTATATGTCCTTTGAAGTCTCCCTTACACTTGACACCCCACTTACCCACCGGAAATAGCTCAATCTTTCGACGTAAGGTCTCCGTTCCGATGTTTGCAGCTCGGATCCATTAAACATTATTAATAGCCCCATTTGATGAAACTGCGCGGTGTTTATTTTAACCTTTCGTTAACAATTCGTGTATTTACCAACGGTATACTGTCGTCGCATTTCAGACGCAAGCGTGAGAAGATACGACGATATCTATGCCTTCGACATTTTGTTGAAACATCCAAGATTCATTTCTTTAATGGGCCCCGCAAGTCTTCACTGATCTCATCTTTTACAATCACTGATCTCAACTTATCCAAATCACAATCTGCTGTTAATTTACTCAACGATTCCGAGCAAGTTCATCAACGCCCTACGTATCGTCCATTTTTATTGATCATGATGACATTTGGCGGAGCTCTGGCTTTGTTTTTATTATGCACAACGAATCTGGTTGGACGGAGTGCGGAGAGTCCAGAAAATATTGAAAACAGAAAAACAGGGATTCAAAGTACTGTGGTGAGCATTAATCTTTACATATTGTATTTCGGTCTTAAAGACTTAATTGCAAATGACCGTTGAAGCTTTCCTTGTGCCGCCAATAACCTCTAACAATTTTAGCTTCCTGGAATTCGAATAGATTACAATTCTCCCGGCAGAAAAGCGTTAAAGCCCGTATGTAAGAGAAGAGAAAGTTGTTTGACAACGCATGATGATACGGAAACGGAAGATTACCCGGAGATTATGTTATTAAACAGTGTCAGCTTCTGTGACTGTCCGGAGAACACTTTCTGCGATCGCTCAAATCCACTCAAAATGGGAGACAGGACTTTTTCGGTCAGTCTTGGGCACAGGGACTTACATTAGTCACATCAAATTTTGAAACAGTTGAATGATCAAATTCATAAAGGGCTTATCACATCCTCATTTTGTTTTCACCGCTTATGATAACCTTTGTCTTTTTTCAGTTCTGTGGACAGCCCTCAATAAAAAAATGCCGGCCGAATCAACTGGCTACCAGCACAATTGGATTATCCCAAATTGTGCATTGTATATGTCCTTATGAGCTGGAGATGACCCACACCAGCGCAGAATTAATTGGACGTCCAGACGCCCCAATGAACGAAATTTGTAAAAAACGAAACTCAGTAAGTTTTCCTCCTTACCTTCTTCTGGATTACTATTTATTCACTTTCTTAGTAACCGTTCACTCTTCAGAAATACTTTGTAAAAAAAGTGAACCGACCGAAAGTCCGATTGAGTGCCAAGGATATCCTCGATTACCTGGAGCAATAATTCCACATCCTGTAGTTATTTTAGCCCTTATTTATTTATCTTATTATTGTGCCAAGTTATTCACCAAAACCTTTTCTACAATGACATCTCTCATTGTAGACGTGCTGGATTTCTACTGCTTGTCTTTCATTTTTGTAATTATCTGTGCATATTATTACAATTTCCGTCTACCATTTTTTGCAGATATTTTTTGTACAGTCAAGTACCTTGTAAAGTACAAATAGAGAGGCCTAGAGCTTAAGTAATTTATTGTAGTTTCCTGCTATGTATACTTATTTTGACTCCTTGTATTCTGTTGGACAATAAAATTGAAAGGAAAGTTTGTTTCTAAAAAGTGTGCTTTGAGCTAATGCCCTGAAGACATTCTAGCCGTCGTCTGGAGGAATTTAAAAAATATGTCAAGTGCACTCGCAAACTTGTTAAACTCGTGGGACAAGGGTTCAACTTTCAGAGCGTACTAAGGGCATGGCTTTTTGCAAATTAAAGAGCTTTAGTCGTAAGTCATGTTAAAGATCAAGATCACTCAAATTTTGAATATTTTTAAATTTTTAGGAGATACGGCGATGTAAGTAAGATCTTCAGCAAATTTGTTGCACTTATAGCACATATGATGATGCGAATTTATAGCCAATCAAGTCATCTTTTGACATTCATGTTTTATCTTTTTTTAAACTCTCCATAAACCCCGATTCACCTTAATGTTGTTTATTTCCCGGACAGAGGATGGCCGAATGTCCTTTGGGCCGCTTCCTTTTCTCCCACGCTTAACCTCTCTATCTTTTTCTCCCAGTAATCTATCCCCTCCCAATCATTGCCTACCACCTCTCCACATTATCCACGGTCTCAAATGGATCATGAAAAAGTCGGTGAACATAAAAAACAAGGAGGGATTTTTTGATGGCCAAATGGCCCGACAACACTGATCCCGGGACATGTGCACACATGGCCATGGCCATTTGTCTTTGCCGAAAGGTGGGGGAGAGAGTGGCCAGGAAGTCTAAAAACGAAGGGAACGGCCGAATCGAATGTTTAAAAGGATTCAAACATGATTAACTAGGTGCTAAGAATGATGAGTGTGGAAGTTGGTGATTCAAAATCCTTAACGGGATCTACCGCCAATCAAATATGGTTCGAACGCCGACAGTCGCTCTAAACTCGGCGTTTACTAGGAGCCATATTGGACAACGCAATGACCTTTTTTGTAAAAATAGTTGCTGTTCCTGCTGAAAACAGCGGTCAATGTACGTCGTCCATATAATCGCCGATTCTGCCCGAAAGCCAGTAATCTGCCAGAGGTCTGGGCCAATTCACCTTTGACCCATCTTATCTCCCAAGATGACGCATAGCATTTATTGAAGGCCAGTTCCCTTTGGACAGGTCAGATAATCGCAAGAGATCACATAATTCAGAGAGAACTCCGACAAAATCACTCAAAATTCTTCTGGGAAAATCGCAGCTGTCAATGTTCGGGAAAATTCAAAGACCTTAGGGAATATGGGGAAACAATGAGAGTGGCGAGAGAAATAAGGAAGCGAAGAGAAATTCCGGCCGATAGATTTACCTTCGAGTGGATTTGTGAGTGTTCAGGCCCTCCGCTTGGCCACACTATTTCGCCATTTCGCGCGCTACTCGGAGGTTTGTAGAATGACGCGGTAGACGCGCGAAGAGAGCAATGATGTTCGAAATGTACTAAGGGAAAACAGTAAAGCTAATAGACATTAAGGCGACAGTACGGTTGATACAAGGGCAATTGTAATGTTTCGAAAGAAATAGGATGATATACCACGACAACAAACGGTTCGCAAGTTTATACAACTTGCCAGTTCGTAGTCTGTAAATTAATTATCAGTTATTAAACGTACAAATCGACAACCCAAAAAATGCAAAATAAGGCAAATGGAACCATAAATCTGTATGATATCTCGGCTCTCTTCACTCTCTTCAATCCCTTTACATGTCCACCTATTGCTTCCCTCATTATCACATTATCCTTCTCCCATCCTATCGCTCACCTCACCTCTCTCCCCGATCGCTTCGGGTATCCGCGGATCCGGCCTCACTTTTTGTCCCGATGCTTATTTTATCCTCTCATTTTCTTCGGCTGCAGATCTCTCGACTTTTTCTTCCCTCCACTCTGATCTCCACTTCGGAAGGGGGATTTGGCCCTGAAGAAAACGTAGGTGGAGGGAGAAACCGATCAAAACGAGATGTTTAGGCAAAAAGGGGTTTCCGTAACCAATTTTATTTTTTATTTTTTTAACTTTTTGCAAATTTACTGACAGTTTTTGACTGTTTTTGGATAACTGTTTATCGTGCTGATTTTGGTGTTACAGTTAATAGAAAGTCTTGACTCGGACAGTTACTTTGACATTTTAAGCGTTGTTTCGAACGACTCCACCATAATATCGTGAACTTGTTTGTCCTTGATCAATGTGCAGTTTTGAAGTCATTTATAATCTTATTGTCACCATAAATGTCCAGGATTGGTAATCTCCTATAGGTTTTCTAAACTGACAGCTCTCGTCATTTATATGCAGTTACCAAAATTAATTTCTATTTTATTAAAGCGAATCATTTTTATTTTCTCACACTTGCATCGTGTTCACTTTTCCTGGCCGGTGTTTGTTCGCACTTGAAAGTGATCTTGTCTCAGGTCTGTTTCCCGGAATCTTGCGGCTTCTTTTTTTGCTTTAACTTTTACAAATTGTATGGGGCAAGGGTTTTTATGCACTTATGCAAAACCACTTAATGTCAAGTGGGACGGCAACCTGTGCACTGTGAGTTCTGACGCTTTTCCGCTTTTCACAATCCCGCTGATTATTGTATGAGTCTGTTTACAAGGATGTGATGCAAGGAACGGTTAGCTTTAGTAGCTGTTTGCTTGTTAACCAGCTTTAGGGTTGTATAACTGAGTTTTAAATGGCTTTAGTCTGCTCTTTCAGACTTTAACTCATCTCAAATTTGAAGTCTAGACCTTACTTTACAACCATTTTGATTACCTTAACTTGTTTCAAACAACTTTGCTGCATGACCCCGATTTTATCGTTATCTTGGCCACAAACAGCTTGATCTCACTCCCACGTGCTCCCATTTCAAATTAAAAGGAATTTTAGTCCGCGTGTGTTCTGTTAAATTCGATTAAAAATAAAAAAATATCTTTTTCTAAATATATTTGCAGATCATTCTATCTGGCCACAAAGATCGGCTCTTGGGTCCCTCTAACATCCTTTTACATCCTCAAAAATGGGAGACGAAGAACCCTCCAAAGACATTCCAACGGCTGTATCACCAGCGCCCTCAACCAGCACTCCTGTCCCAACTCTTCAAATCAGAGATAATGGAGGTGCTGGGAGTTCCAGCTCAGGGCTGGGAACCTCCTCAAGTGTTGGAGAAGATGATGGGCCACGAGTTAGATTCAGCGATAAAACAAAGGCCATATTGGAAGAATCAGAGCTGCTTCTAAAAGAACAGCCAACAGCCTCGGTTCTGCTCGGACTTGGGTTACCATCTTCAGCGCGAGCTACAACATCCAGATATGGGCTTGATCGCGATGAAACCGAGGATCAACCGTCTTCATCTAGTTACATTTCCACCCTTCGAAATCCCCTGGAACCATCACCCTCTCTGAGCTATCTTTCAACGCATCGATACGCGATGAATCGACCGACTTTCAACCGAGTCGATTTTGATGATGTTGTTGACGATGCTATACGCGATAGGAAACCATCATGGCAACAAATGCAGGATAGCGTTAAGGATTCTTACGCAAGGGTAAGTTGAATCGAACGCGTTGATTGTAATCCTAATGCCGGGTTTTAGCCAAAACGAACAGTCGACCGAAACAAGGACATCAACGAATTTATGGATCTCAATGTATTAAACCGCCGCCGTTTACGCCGCTCCCAATCTCCCTTCGGTAATCTGGACGGTGAGAGTTTATCCCTTCGGAAGCCTTCGTGGTTTGCCAATGGAGCAATGGAACCGCGAGGATTACGAAAGACTGCGTCCTCTGCGTATGTTCAACCTGGACCATATGCCGCGCCGGCTCTGAGTAAAACCAGCGGCATTGAATCAAGGTCCAGATACGACCAAATGGTCGACGACATTGAAGTCAGACTTCTGAAGACAACATTGCTGCCTGAGTATATGAAAACGGTGACAAAAAGAGAATTCCGAAGGGCGCCGGAGCCAAGTTCGGGAAGTGCTGCTGAAGGAATCGTCAATGAAGATGAGCTGGCGGTATGTTTCAAATTATTTAATTTTGCTGGCAATGAATTTGTGAATTGCGACGGTTCTCTGTTTCAGGAGTACGCGCCAAAGCCCTACTACAGCCGCCCGAATAGGCGAGATCCCGATTACTTTGACTCTGATCTCGAGCATTCTGTTAACATGTACCGAAGACCTGAGGGCCGCTACTATCCTCGAGGGTAAGTTGTTCTCCCAAATTCTAACGTCGGATTTTTTTTTCGAATTTTCTAAGTCTCCCAAATTTATAAGGTTTAATTGGATCGTAAAAGAATCCCGACTTCATGACTGAGATTTTAGCCCACAAGACTACGAACACAAGATTATGCATGAGTTGGGAGGCAAAGGTGAAGCCCCGATCTCAGCCCACATGTTCAACAATACGGTGGGAGATTGGAGAAACACCGGGACATCATATTTGAGTGCTGCTTTGAGAACGCCATCATTTTGGGAACACCGATTCAAAAATATTGGCTCTCAAGTGCGGGATTCCAATCCGATCAGCCTGGATAGTCTTAACAGGTAAGAAATTAGCAAGGGTTACTGTGAAGGTGGCTAAAATTGTTCTTTATCATAATAGTTTAAAAAAAATTTTAAAATATTTTCAGAAACCGGCCCCAGCCCAATCGATTCACGGAATACAAGGACCCCGACTTAGAAGGTCTCAGCGATTTAGATGACGATTAGATGTAGAATCCGAAGCCATCCAAACCGTGAATTAAAATAATTTCAACCTTGAAGCGAATGAACTGCCATTTTTGTCGCTTTTTTCTCAGGTTTTGCGTATACTCTTGATAATTTTCCTCTCTCATTTACAACCAAAAAATATTTGAAAAAAGCGAAAAAAGTCAAATCAAATCTATGAATGTCACTTATCACAAACTATTCTTCTAATCTTGTCTCTGTAAATTGTTAAAATTCTATGCTTTCAACGATGTGTTTTCATATTGTTATTCTGAGTTTAATTCTTGTTTTCTTTCTTGTCATCTTTTACATTCATAGGCTGTTTTAGCGAGGTTTTATGTTGGATAAATTGAATTTATTTCCTGTAGACGATTTTTGGCATTTTTAAAATTCTGTATAGTTGATGATGAAAAGACAATTTCAGGACGCCGAAAACGGTATATTAATTAAAGAAAGTGTGTGGAATACGTGATGCTTTACGAAAGAGCCACGTGCTTATTTCGTAAAAGTGAATCACGTTTCCGTCGACAAATAAAACGTCAAGGAACCCTTATCTCTTACGAACCTCCTTGAAAATTGACCTTTTTATATTCAAATAATCGATTCGCTCCTTTTTTATCAGAAATACGATTCGAAAAGTGGGGAGTAAAGATAAAAAGAAAGCAAAGAAGTTGAAGGTTTTTACAATAAAAAGGAAAACGCTGTGATAGGGTCCGAGAACAGACTTAGAAAGGCCTTTAAACTAACCGAATATTAAGCGCTTTCCATTAAAACACGTTGCCTTCCGGATACGCGTGCATTCTTCTGGTTGATTCTTGGCGGGGTTTTTGTTGTCCGTTATCTTTTCGGCTTAAAAATCGCTGAAATTGTAAACACTTTTTACATTCCTTTTTGCTTGCTAAGCAGTTTCGCGATGTCCTTTTACTATCATTATTGAGACTTTTTTCTATTTTTTAAGGGTGTTTTCTACATTGTGTTTTATTTATATTCAAGTTTCCGATCAATATTTTTGTTGTTTACACCTTTTTACACTCCAATTGATTATCGTTTTCCAATGCTCTGATATCTATTTTGCATCTTTGAATGTATTCGTGGCCTTGGATCGTAATCTTTACCCTTATTTTTTTGCATTTGTTTCAATTTGGATGTTGTTGATATTACATATTCTAGAAGGTTGTTTTGGGTTTTGTGTTTATACCTTATTTTGTTTTCCGTGGACTATGATTGGGATGGCTCTCTGCAGTGTCATTTGGGAGAGATCGGCGCTCCTTTTGCAACAAAGTTTCTTTTTATTAAGAAGAATTAATGTTGCTTTGATCGTTGTACCTTGATTATGGAATTGTGGGTGTATATTTTTAATTTGGATGGGCGTTAAAAAGCAAATTTATAGAGGAATTTATTAACATTTCTTATTACCATTTAAGGGCATTGGAATATCTTCCTAGTAAGTTAGCAGATCGTTTTTCGGAAGTCTCAGCAGCGCTGACTTTGTCCGCAATCTTTTACGTTTGCGTTCACAGATCCAAAACGATGATTGCATATAAGACCAATCAGAGGTAATTTACACCCTGTAGTCAACCAAATGCCGAGCCAAAGAGTTAATTTGACAGGCGAATATTCAAAAATACTTTCCATTAAACAATTCCTGATTTCTCATTTTTTTAGTAACTTTAAGTTCAAAGTTACTAGCTGTACTTTTGACGTTTTACCATGTGACTTATATCAATTAAGAATCAACTGAAGTTTGTAAAAAAGTGTTGGGGTTTGGGCAGAAGCATGCTTTCAGTGATTTGTCCAAAGTCCACAATTAATGTTTTAAATTCGATTAACTGGTTACGGGCGCGATTAGCAAAAAACTGTGGTTTTTTTACTGTTTTGAGGTTTCTATCTACATATTTAAGGCATCGAAAGGAGTGAAAGTCTACATAACCGATAGAAGCCTAAACAAAAATAAAATTAGAATTTGCCTCTCTAAAATTAGTTTTAGTCATCATTAATGCTGATGGTTCTATAGCACGTTGAATAACAATTACCGCTTACATGTTACCGTCCATGATCTTCCGCCTTGATTTACCCTAAGTTTAAATTTTATTACTCTCATCTTTCCGCACCGACCACGTTTTTACAATGGACTTTATCGGTTATCAATCCCTAATTACGCAATAAAATCTACCTCCTATGTTGAAAAAAAAAATTAATTTCGCTTGCCATATATGGAGTCTCATCGTTTTTATCATTTTCTCCAGCGCGTTTTCTGATTGACACACCGGATTGACATCTTTAAAAGGGAAAGTGGAAAATTTGTTCCGGAGATATAAATTTAGGCGCGATAAGATCATTGAGTTCCAATTTTGAATAGTAACTTGAACTTTTAATTAATACCGATGTTACTCGCATATGTATTTACGTACTGGGCGACCGATAATCTTGCGTTTTATTGATCAACAACATCGTTTTCTGGAAAGTTGAGTGCGCCATCTCTCTCTCACGGGGATAGTTTCTGACGATGTTTTGTGTTTATTTACACCATCATCACATTTGGAGTTGTTGCAAACTTATCTCTTCTCCCTAAGAATTTCTCTCCAAATGTGCTGAAATTTGGTCTCTGGGTCCCTCAGTGATTGATTCTTTAAGAAATTACTGTAAACGCAAGCATTGTGCCTGCAGCTAAACAATTACAAACCACTTTTAGTATGACATAGGTACTTTATTTAGACCAGTTTGTCGTATCTCAATTTTTATTATAACGCGATGTAGACTTTCTAGAACTTTTTCAAAGAAAAGCTGGCGAACTATAATATAATAATTCGTCGGAAAGATTTACTGATTGTAAACGAAGCTCTTTAAAATTGTGAGCATGATTTCTACAAGGGTTAGCCTCTTGCAAAGCAATGAATCTGAGAATTGCAACATACATCCCAAAAATAGCTACAACAACGTACTGCACCATTCTAACCAAGTAGTTTGCATATTTATGAAACTAGCCAAGGCCAGCTAACAATTGTAAGATCGGCATTGAAGGTCAGAGACTACCAGTTCTCTAAACTTAGCCTTCCCCATTTTTAAACTTCTTGAAACTGATAATTATAATAATAGTTCCTCGCTGACTTTTCTTCCTTGAAAACAACTTTTTCTTATTTTTATGCAATCATCCACACCTATTTATTGGAATTTCCTTTACACCTAATTATTACAACTTATTTCCTTCACTTTTTACGAGAGATGACCATTGAACCTTGAAGTTATCTAAATAAGCCGGGGTTTTGTCTGAAATTATTTTTTGAGAGCCGTCTAAACTCTTTTAAGCAGAACATAATCTGTAAATTCACTATGATCACGGAGGTGAACTTTTTGGGGAGTCATAATTCCGTTATCACGGTAAGCCAAAAAAACAACTGAAATCGGGTATTTTTAGATAAAAGAAAAGAATAAAATACGATAGGAGTCTTTACGTATTAACTCGCGGGAGGTAGAGGATTACAGTGAAATTTGGGTACCGATAAGAAAGATGGATGCTGGGATTACAACAAAAGATATGAGTTGAGAGGCTGGGAATGTGTTGGGGAAATGGTTCTACTCATATGGAAGAAGGGACGAGGCAACGGAACACATTTCAATTAAAACACATTCAATAACGAAAAAGAAATTCTTGTAATTCTTTCTTTTTTAGATTAGACTTCCTGTGGGGCATCCCAGAGGGTCGGAAGTGATTCGAATGGATTGGTATCGTCATCCTAAGAAACTAAATTTTTGAAAAAAGTTGTCGACAAAGTAAATTGTTTAGGATGACAATACGAATCCACGCAAATATTCCCGATCCTCTGGGGTTCCTAGTTTTTTGATACAAAATTTGCGTGAAAAAATATGTATAGGATGCATACAATAAGCCAATCTAAAAAAAATAAAACAAAAATTCCGGAAAATATATTTGCCACTTGCCACCTCTATTCTGCGGTTGCCCGATTCTCGCTTTGTTTTAACACCTTTGATGATTTAAGAAAGCTAGATGAAACATGTTTTTGAGCGGGGAATTGTCCGTCAAACTTGCCCCTTGTGGCTGATATTGTGTCTATATTGCAGATATCGCCCAGAGAGTACGTAGCATTCGCTTCGAGTGGCGCTGTCGACATTTTATGGCTCCATACTCCTCAAACTGAACCGTAGATTAAGGCCGGGGTTTAGAATCACAGGAAGAGACCAACTGAGGGACCTGATACATACTTTGCCAAAATCACGGGTGTTCGACCAATCTTATATATTCATTAGAAGATCCTTGCTCCCCAAAATGTTTTTAAAATACCCGCTTTCATAAGCCAGCAAGGAGACTTTACTATCGGTTGTAGACAACCTAATTTTAAATTATCGTTAGCTGGTGGTCTGTTCCACCAAAAAATCACCATGATTCTCCCTAGCGTCACCGCTTACAACAGTTTTTTTCGTCTGCATCTCTTTTGAGAGCTACTTCTTCTTGTGTGGCCTGGGTTTGCAGTTTCCATAAATCAATCATAATTTAAGAGTACATTTAAACAACTGCAGATCGCGCTTTTTTTGCGTTGCAACTAAAAGAAAAGGCAGACAGGCAATGCACTATTAAGACTTGTATGCGTAAAAAATTATCGTATAACGGACGACTTCTTCGATAAGGCTTTAACAAACATCTACTGTAAGTCTATAGTACAAGAATCCTGTAAACAAGCTTTCAGTAAGTGGTATTGTACTTTTTGCAAAGTAATTCTTCTGGTTTCAAAGACAGTGAAAGGACAAAACTAATAATTCCAAAATTACAAGTACAGCAGCAACTCAAATTCAATGTTAATATGCATCCGGAGACAGACTTGTGTTGTTGTAAGTGGGGTGTTTAGTTAACTTCACTGTTCTTCATATGTATTTGGTGCCCCAGATACGAAAGAACGTGCTTTGATCTCGACTCCAAACGCTAGAGAACTCTGATGACGATCTTATTAGAATGAGCGGGAACGAACTGTTTACCAATGCTTAGTCAGTATCATGAGCAAGTTTTTGGAGTGTTCAATGATGACCAGTACTCTGAAATTAGTTCTGCAAGTCTTATGGAGTACTTTACGTTTTAATACAACTTGGATTATATCTCGGTTACAGTCTTAAAATAGTAATTGTAAGGTCAGGGACGTCCTTATCATCCTGATTGCACTTTTATGTCATCCCCGAATTCCAAACGCTTGCGTGGTAGGCCAACGTTGAGTGCACGTGGACGATAGTTTTCTTGTATTATCTTTGCCTCGGGCACTCTCTTGAAACATGACCCAATGATATTTCTCTGAAACCTCTTTCATTAACGTCTTTGCGAAGGATAGAAGAGTTGATGCAACGTTATCTGAGACTGTTGCATTTATCTATTTCCAAACATGTTTCTCCCCGGCCGGCTTTTCACATGAATTCGCATTGAGCTGGTTTGATGCTCAATTATCATTATTTTTAATTCTCGTTCTTCATAAAAAACAAACACATCGTCCATTCTTGTAGAGGCGGTAGTCCAATGCTTTGCAAATAAACGATGAAGTCGAACTCGATGTCAGAAGGCGGGGATCTCTTCAACAACGATCCCTTCTTGTCGCTGGATACAGATCTGGACGATGTTAGCGGTAAGGATTCTCAGTAATAATATCTTATATGACAGTTTGATACTTTTGTGTGATGTGTAGTTTGAAATCATAATTGATGGCATTTATTTTTCAGAAGTTATCAAGAACATCACCACGGAATCTAGAGGCTTATTCGATGGAAGTCGAACACCATCTCCTCAATATATGAGGGACACTGATGTATATGCTCAACCTTCGTATGCCGGGTCTTATCACAGTGGATATAATGAAGAGAGTTATGAGGTGGGGAAAACATTAATGACATCGGGAAATCTAGGGCACTGAGTCTCCAGTTTTAATGCTTATCAAGATGCACGAAGTCTCGTATTTTACTTTATTCGTTCTCTCCAAATCTTCGTAGTTCTCCGAATTATTTATGTCCCAAAACTTTATCACTTTTCTTAAAGTTGCTAGGAAGTCGAACAAAAAACATCGCCGCTGTAAACCGTGGTTTTTTCGGCCCTTCGAACGAAAAAAACAATCAAAGAGGGAGGGGACTAACTTTACTGTTATCAGCAAATTGAAGGAGGACCAGATCTTTTCCTCGAGGCGTCCATTACTTTTATTCGCCAGCTTTGAAGTCAAGTCGAATTTAAAATTTGCTTCTAGACTTGATTAATACAATTGAAAATTTTCTGGAGAACTCTTACAATAACTGCATTGGCAGTGGCCCTACAACTCTATTTCCTGTATTCCACATTCTTGGGTGTCGTCTACTTAATTATCTAACTGATTGATTAGCTACATTGCCAATATAACGCCCAATATGTCGGTTGTTTTCCAGCCCATCCAACAACAACCCCAGTATCATCACATGGCCAACAGCGTCGACCATTACGACCCTACCAAAGCAAGAGAAATTGGTCAGATCATGATGCAACTACAAGATCAGCCGTACCCCCAATTCGACGTTTCCCAGCAGCGACCTTATTCAATGAGACAATCGACCAGTCAAATGCCCGCTCAGCCTTATTTCCACGGAAAACAAGAGGCTTATGTTCAGATGATTGATGAACATCAAAATGGAAGGCCGTATGGAGAGGAGAAGATGGATTTTGATATGAATCAGGAAACTTCCGGGGGATTCATGGGATATGCAAGCGATGGAGCGTTTGATTACTCAAATTACGATAGACATCAACACCAATATGCCGAGATGAATGGAATCCAGAGAAATGGAAAGACTTATGCAGCACCAAGGACAACCAGAGTGCACTCTCAATCTCAAGATAACATTACGATTGCTGCTTACACCCAGAATCATGAACCCCAGCCCTCTACTTCAACCAAACATGAACTCATCAAAATGCTTTTGGAAATGACTCCGGATGATGTAAGTAAAATTAAAATCTTATACTTTCAAAAACCGCAGGGCCATACAGTTTAATTATACAAATTTCAGTTGGAAAACCTCCGAAAGCAAAAGTCTTCTCACCACTCTAGTCCCCAATCTTCTTTCCAGGACATCAGTATCAAAACTGCTGAACCAATATCGCCCACTCCAGCTGATCCTGCAAGAAAGTCTAGCCAACAAAGCCTCGCGCAACTTCCACAAGTGCCAACCACATCCAGCTTCTACTCGAGTCCTGGCTCTGGAGATAATGTAAGTTTACTGTTGCAGAAAAAAGCTGCGTAAATTTTTCTCACAATCAGCTCTCTACTGGTGGGAAAGGTCATTTACCGTATTAATAATAAGTACAATCGTCAGTCTACCACCCAACGTGTTCTGAATTTAGTCACAAATTTGATTGATAACCTACAATATTTAATCCCAACTAAACCCAGACATGAGGTTAATTTAAACTGTATCTATAACAAAATGTAAGACTGATAAAACATAATCTACAGGCAGTAGACCTTGGGTGGTCGAGTATGAGTAAAAGGTAATGCCCTCAGGCATTTGTACGGTGTAGTCTGTGATTTCAATTTTCAAGGGCAAAGTGCAATTGAGAAAGGAAAAGGAGCAAAGGACAGTTTTAATTCTTTGTAAACAAACTTGCAGAATCACTGTAACTGATAAGAATTTACAACCCTGATAGACGGCTTATGACATTTTTATGACCGCACTTTTACTACATATTTCGATGTTACGAGTTATGCGTTTAATTTACGTTGTTGCAGATTTCTGTGACCTCGCCCAGTTACGGGAGTCCTAAATCCAACTCAATTGATAACAGTCCTCAAGGAGACAGTGATAATGATGACATGGATATGATGGGAACATCGATGAGGAGAGGCCCCAAAACTGAGAGAAGAACGGCTCACAATTTGATTGAGAAGAAATATAGATGCTCAATCAACGATAGGATCACTCATCTCAAAGATATGTTAGCTCCAGAGGAAGCCAAGGTAGAGTTGAACAGAAATTTGAACTTCAACTGTTAATTTTTTTAGTTGAGCAAATCTGCGACTCTCCGAAAGGCCATTGAACACATAAGTGCCCTGAGGCAACAAAATTTGGACCTCATGCAAGAGAATGAACGCCTTCGGTCGGCTCTTCAACAGATTGGTGGCGAGTTCTCTGCTCCGATGAAGTACTCCCCTCAACGAGACGGCAAGAATAGTCAGGTCTGGTTACCGCTCTATGTAAATGCCCTGAGGGGTGGTGTTGGTTTGAGTGCAATTGTTGGTGACAACTGAGTTGTTGTTTTTTATACAAATTTTAATATCCTTTATCAGTCGCTTTTATACGACTGATTTATCCGGTTCGACTTACTATCATATCAGCGTTTTATTCACATATCCCGATGATTCTTACAGTACTGTTTAAGCCAGTATACAATAAAGTGGCATTTGCATTCTAATTCTATTTTCTTCTGCATGTTTCTAAAAATTATATACTTCATGAGTCTTCGAACTAATAAAGGGGCAATATTCTCATATTATACATGATGATGATATATGTATGCAATAAAGACTGAACTAACCATGATCCCTCTTATTTATATTTTGTGCAAATGTGGATAAATACAAATGGCGTATTTTTTACTAAATAAAATGCAAAATGCATTAACTTCTTGTAAGGTTTTGAGGACCAAAAGTGTCGTACTTTGTCCACATTTGCATATAATCTTGACAGTTTATGATGTAATTTATGTTAATTGCACTCAACCAACACTATTCACCATTTGTGTTTACCATTTCTCGCTTAAAGTTCATTATTTTTGTCAAACTGTCGTAGTAATTGTTTTATTTTCAGAGTTCCGAGTCATCTTCCGCCAAAAAGAAGCCAATGCTGGATCGCTCCCGGGTCAGCTTATCAGTGTTTATGCTCGTTTTCCTCACCTACAACCCCCTTTCCTTTGTCGTATCCACCGAACCCCTTGGTACTCCTCTCCGCAACATGACTTCTGTCTACCATCGAACACTAAACGATGTGTCATATCAAGAACAACCACCGTCAACGTTCTGGGAACGTACTTTCACTCAGCATGCAATTATATGGGCCGTAAATGCGGCAATTGTTTGTGCAATACTAACCAAATTACTCGTGTATGGAGAGCCCGTAGTAGATAGAAGTTTGCCGACTTGGAAGATATTTGTGGAGGCAAAACGACAAGCTCATGATGCTATAGCTGCATGCAATTATAGGGAGGCGCAGAGACAATTAGTGGATGCTCTTCATGTAGGTTATAACACACGGAAATTTCGATCAGCTGGAAAAGAAATTGTGCACGTTAAGGACTGCTTTTTTAATTCCAAGCAACGCTTTTTTTAGTTATTTGGTCGATATGTTCCTACAGCTGGTGGATTTGAAGAATGGGTATCCCTTTTTTGGCAATTAATTCGCCACGGGCTTAACGGAATTTGGGTAGGAAGGTGGTTTGCCCGGAGGCGGAGATCAAAGACCATGCCTCCACCAGCCGTGTGTAAATCCCACGCAACTACGGCCTTAGTTTATCACGAATTGCATCAGGTAAGGGTCGTCTCGTCATAGTTCTATTAGTTTTAGCTTCATCTAATTGGAATTGACGATGGAGGAAATGGAAAACTCTCTGGTTTAAACCTTGCTTTGGCAACGGTAAACCTCGCTGAATCTGCCGGAATATCTTCAGACGGCATCACTCATCGGCAACGTGCTGATATCTACATCCACGCAGCATTAAGAGCCAAACTGAGTCTCCCCAAATGGCTGTCCCGTCTGTGGTCATCGTATTTTATGAGAAGAGGCAGACGTCATCTGCGGAAGAGCAGTACTGTGGACAATGTTGAGATGAAGTCCTACCAATGGCTCTTTCATCCGCTGGCCAAACGATTTCTCGCTGATCCAACGGCGTTAAAAGAGGTGCTCGAGAACTCAAGACAGTCCATTCATTACCCGTTCTCCTGCATTCAACCTTCACGTGAGTTCCTTGAGGGTTTGATAAGAAAACATTGCATAATTTTCACAAATGGAGCAAACTTGTTTAGCAAATAGCGATAAAAAGTTCAAAAAAGTCATATAGCTTGCTAAAAATAGCAATTTTATACAACTCTTTCCAAAGCTTTACAGTATTATGCGAAAAAATAATAAACCAAGATCTATGCAAATTAAAGACCAGAAACTTTTAGCTAAGCCAATTGAACGCCTAACCAGTGCCTTCAAGATGCATCTTTTGGCCTTGCTCGTAAATCAGCTCAACTCTATCAGTGGCGATATTAATTTGACTGATTTTGTGGAGATTTCCCATTTATTGCTCAGCATTTCGACGGCGGACAATTGCGAAGCAAAAGTGCGTGAACATTCCGTTGAAGAAGGGGCTGAAGTACACATGAACAACAATGGTAAGACTTGACCACAGTGATATTTTGACGTCTTCATTTGCGAAGTCAAATAAATTTAGGGTTGTTCTTCCATTTTTAGCTCGTATTTGTTTACTTTTCTAATATACCCAAAGGCGCGTGGAATGCACGCAGAAATTCTTATCAATTACTTTATTTGAAAATCAAAAAAGATATTAACGTTCCTTTATCGCCAATGATATTGAACTTGCATCATTCGTCGACTTTTGGTCTGGACTGTAAAACCATGAAAAAATAATTAAAAGAATTTTGTAATTACGTAATAACACAACAAAATTTAGGCCAAAAGATGAACACGAATTGGGAAGACGTTCCCGTTGGAAGGGGAGATCCTCTGATAGTCTGGTGGACTCATCTCGTCAGTTGTGGATTATATTGGAGACATGGCGATTTCGGAAGAGCTCAGACTCATTTCTCTTTGATTAGGAAATGTCCGCCTCCGTTATTGCAGTGGTAAGTAAATAAAAGTTACAAAAAAAGAAAAGCATTGTCTCAAAAAGATAAATCCAATTTGGTTTTCAGCGAACTGGCGTTGGGCGTTGGAATGGCATTTTGCGCCAGGAAAATCTGCATGAACGATAGACACAAGAAGAATTTCTCGGATATGGTCTGGCTTCATGTGAGAAAATCATACGAACATATGCACAAAGATGATCCGCCGAACATAAGGACTTCTTCTAATATGGTCGTCGCTTTGAATGTAAGCTCTTTCTCATAGCCAGCCATCCCAAGCGTCATCAAAAACATGAATGACTTTCAGCATCTGATCCATTGCCTTACCTACGAGTGGTGCCTAACCAGTCTCATAGATGTGTGGCATATGAATCTGAAATCCGACAAGCCGTTCTGGGAACAACATGCCCCAAATCAGCTTCGCCAATTGTACCAAGACCTGTTGTTTTCTTACAAAACATTTGGCCGGAAGAGTTCTTATCGCTTGAAATTCCTTGTATTCAAGGTGATCGGCCGATTACTTTGTGGAGCCAATCCACTGACGACCTGGCGATTACTCACAAAACATTGTCGATTCTTGGTCAGTCAAGACGATGACAATGTTTCGTTTGATATGAGTGTGCAGTTACAAGTAGTGAAGAGACTACGAAGCGACATTCGGAATATTTGCAATGCCAAGAGCTTTTGAGTTTTATGACTATTTTATTGGTTATTAAATGCGATTCTAATTTATTTTGATCCGTTCCGTGTTAAAATTAGATGACACAATGCACGGCAAACCGAAATATTTACAACAAAAATGTATCCCGCCCACTTTTGAGTTTCGTCCAAACGAAGTGTCACAACTGACAAAAGCAATAAAATAATTTCGAGAAAAATATTTTTCCATCGAAAATCACACGAAAAATTCTGTTGTGACATTTCGTGTGAATTTGACCGATACTGGGTGTGCGAAGTCCCGAAACGAGGAGGGAGGCTCCCTGGGTTGCCGTGCGATGGCACTACGTCTTACGATCTTTCGGGTTTGTGTCATATCGATTCGTCGTTATTCGCGTATCGGAGGCTAGGAGAAGGCATAGTTAGTCGGAATACGAAGATAGATCAGGTTCATTAAGAAATGCGGTCATGTTGAAAGTCTCAAGGGTTCCAACAGCTTGGCCAAACCTCGCAGGCAGCCCTACGACCTTTCTGTTGGCCTCTGCATTACGCCGCGTATCAAAGTCGAGACGCGCTTTTTAAGAGCATTGTCATAATCCTTTATGTAATATAATTAGTAAAAAGTAACAATAGAATTATTATGACTATTACAGATTTTCTGACTAAGTTGTTCAACTGGGAGCAAAAAAAGTGTGACCGGGATTAGACAATGATGATAGGTACTTGAAGACAGTTGCAGATCACAACAATATTAAAGGTATACATAGTTTTCTAAAAACAAAACTGACCACATAATTACGAGGAGATGTTAGAATATACAATAGGATTAGTTTGTTTGTCGTAAATTCACCCGATGTTAACTGGACCGCGTACTAATATAGCCGGGGATTCCTTGATAAAGGAGAGATCAACGATTTCAGATATCAGCTGAGGTCACTCATGTTGTTGAAGGCGGAGACAGGCCTGAGCCAGATGAGGAAGGGCAGTCCAGCCATGTGCACCGGGGCCAAATTTGTAGACTAGTTTCTTGGGATAGAGCCCGGTCTTGGGGACGGGGACGAGGATCTGCTTCTCGTAGTAGGTTCTACAAAAAATTAGGCGATCAGACCTTATAGGACATAATTGAGAATCATTTTAATGCCGAAATGGCAATGTAAAACATCCAAAAAAAGCTACTGGTCCTAAGAATCAACAAAAATTGTTAAGGCCTCACCTCATCGCTCTACTCAACTTCTCGTAAGTCATCTTCTGATTGTTCTTCTTCTCTCCCCATAGCCTCGCCAATTTCTCTGATTCCACAATTCTGAACACCCCTTGTTCTGGATCTTCCCATCTCACAATTGTAGGACAAGTACTGGGATCTTTAAGGGCGTCTCGAATAAATTCCCACAATTTATTTCCCTTCGTATGTTGAGAACGTTTCCGTGGCCGTCCATCCTTGTTCTTCCGGACTTTCGGATAATCATCAAGTGTGCCTGAAGAGATTAAATTAAGTCAATGTTCTGCAGTACAACATCAGTAAGAGCTCAACAATTGATTTTAATTGTAAAATCAAAAGTGAATGTAACCAACGTTCATCAAAAGAGTGGTTTTGTTTCTTCAGTTGTTTAAAAAACTTACTGGAACTCTCGTATCCATTAGACATTGGTGGTGCAAGATGTTGTCCAAAATTCATATTGGGAGAGTGCTGCGATTGGATATTCCTCAGGATCTGCTGCTGTTGCTGTTGTTGGAGAACCTGCTGATGATGTTGTTGGAGTCGTTGCTGTGATTGCAATTGGCTCATAGAATTCGAGGCAGCTTGTTGTGCTAGGTGAGGGTGAGTGGCGTAGAAACTCTGGAATGTAAACGATAAATAAGAAATATAATAAAGCAATAAGGAGAGACAAGGAAGTTAGAAGTAGAGGTTAGCTTGGAGAAGCTCCTAGAACTGTCCGCATTTTCCCGCTTACCATATAAACCAATTCGCAAAGTTTGGCCTTCTCAATCACCTCGAGGGTGCACAGAGTTCCCTGCATTTGTTTGGATTCACTTCCTTAAACTAAAGCAAGACTAGAATATCGATGTAACAAACCCGAGCAGCTAAGGAAACGCCACAAAATTCCTTTCATTTGCTTCCCAACTTCCGCCAACCGTGCGAAAGAGAGATAAGGAAAAACAGGGATCCGCTAACACTAACATTAATATACCCCGCCACATCCGCCCCAATTCCTTCTCGAGGCGACGCTGCAAGTCGAGCAACTGATAGCCCCCTCGCTTCAATGATGCGCCCAAAACAAAAACCGCTACGACCCCCCTCGACCATAAAATCAGCAACCCCGGATCAGTAAGCTGTCTGCGACTTTTAAAGATCCGCAGATTTAATCGAAAAGAGAAAAGTGCAACGGGAAAAATCTAAAGTCTAAACTCAAAGTTGGATCCGCCAACTAAGCACACAGAAGGACTGCTTACTGAAAACATTAAAGACCAGACAAACGAGCGCGGTGCAATCGATGCCCTCCTTCTAGACGTCAAAGTGACTTAAAACAGTAATAAAAGTTCGTATCACGCGGATTATCTGAATACCTCAACTTAAGGTACACTAGCTGCATATGCTATCAAATAAATGAACGAACTTCTGTCTGTTCAAGACTTATATAAATGACATTTCAACGACCCCTGCCACCTTCTCCAACCTTGATAAGCAAGGCGGAAGTGGTAAGAGAAAAGGAAGTGAATTTAAATTAAAAAGAGATGAACGTGATTCACGCCGCCTATCACGCCAAACTTCCGCATTTGGAACCTCTGTTTTTCGCAATCAATTCCCTTTTTGTAGGTCGCTGCTCAAAGATGGCGATTGTATTGGAACGAGGAACAAATTCCCGAAAAAAGGGGTTGTATTTTGCAAAAAATAATTGTATTCGAATAGGAGGGTCATAAATATTCGGACGTTATTCGTGCAAAAGATGGAGATCAAGTAAGTAGTACATACCAGTCTGTCGGGAGAATAATAATCACTCTGTCGCTGCACAGATCGCGTTGCTGAAGTGGAAAGCAATTTGATTTTCCCGCAACACAATTTGTTTTTTCGACTGCGATGCAATTTTTGACGCATCGCAGTGATTAGTATTTTCCCGACAGACTGATGAAATGACTGTGATCTTTGATGACTTTTGATGACTAGAACGATTAGACTCCTTTTTCTCACCTGTAGGGTAGCTTCGTTCTGCTGTTTCTGCTGCTGTTGCAGCGCAGAAACTGGCGAATGCAGAGACATCAAACTGTTGTGCTTCTGAATCTGCTGACTCAACGGACTCAGAGGAGAATTTGCGTATAACAAACTGTTCAACGCGTTGTTCTGAGCTTGAGACATCCGACTAGTCGAAGCGCCGGCATCAGTGTCATTGTGGTTGCGGATCCAGTCATCCAGTGTACATTGATCATCTGAAAAGTGTTGATTAATTTGAAACAGCATTTCGTGGAAACGTATTTTGTAAATTTTACCTTTTATCAGCTTCCTGAATTCTGAATACAACAGGGATCCGTAGTTTTTATCTCTTTCGCAAAACTGATGTTCATTCATTTGAAGGAGTTGGGCTCCTGTGCATCGGGCAAATTGAGTACTGAGATCTTCAGCAGGAATACTATTTCTCTTTGCCACATCCAACAACCATGCAATCACATCGTCCATCGACCATTCACTGGGCTCTTTCAGCTTGAACTTGGCCAAGTCAACCTGTTCAAAGTTCGGAATCGGCTTCTGGGTTTGAGGCATATTGGACTTTAGGATTTGAGGTCCTAATCGATCAAGCAGAACAGCGGCAGCCGTGCTCGGCCAATTGTTTAGCGACTGAATCAGCTGGGGATACAACGCGGCCACTCCATTGTTGTTATTCTGCCCCATAAGTCCCTGACTCTGTTGTTGACCCTGAGTTGCTGGACTTAGTGGTTGCTGTAGACCCAAGGGAGAGTTCTGGACCATCTGCTGCAAAGAGTTGGCTTGAGCAGCGGCTGCGGCAGCCGCAACAATCGCTTCGTTGAGATTGTTGTTGCTGAATCCGGGACTGCCGTTGGAAGAGCAAGCGTTTTGATTGCACTCTGGACGTTGCTGTTGTAGTTGAACCGCAGTGTTGGCGGCGGCATAAATGTCGGCCACTGAGGGTTGCGACGTGTTTTGTTGGTTGGCGAAGGCAGCAGCGACAATGGAGAGGTTGTTGGCTGATGAAAGACCTAGTCCTTGGTTGTTCGAGTTGAGGTTGAGGTTTTGGCCTGAGCTCAGTCCACCTCCAAGTCCTGAGTTTGCGAGGCTGGACTGGAGATTGGCCGAGAGTGAGGTAGAAGCTTGCTGTTGATGGTAGTGTAGCACGTCCAGTGCGCTCAACCGACGTTGATTCAGTTGATCTGCTGGACTGTTCGGGGGGAGTTGCGACGGGGTCGGGTGGCTTTCGAGGGTGGAGTGGCGGCCGCTGGCTTCTCCCATGAGGCCAGCGAGCTTTTGCGACGACGCGGTCGCATTGTTTGCACTTAGCGCGTGCATGGATTTGTTTGTCGAGCAGGCGGTCAAGATTTGCGCACCGGTCATCGCATGGCCAGTGGTCGAATCGTTGTTCGTCACCTTCGCCTGATTCAAAGCGGCCGCGACTATAGCCGCGTTAAGTTGGCTATTGGAAGCGTTGTTTGGATCAAGCTGAACGGGGGTGCTGGATTGGTTCTGCTGCGCTTGTTGATTGTTAAAGGCGGCTAACAAGTAGCTGGTGGCAGTAGATTGAGATGGTTGCAGCTGTTTCTGAGCAGCAGCAAGCAAAGCGGCAGCCATGTTATTAGCCCCGTTCTGGGCAGAATTGTCCTGATTCTGTTGAACTGACTGGAAGAAGTTGGCCAGTTTCAGTTTATAGGCCTCATTCTCGTCGAATCCCTTGTTCAAATCTTTGGGATTACCCGTGGCGGGAGACTCGGGAGCGGTATGCGGAGAGTCCGCGACCGCCGCGGCTGACTGCGACTCCAGTGCGACCGCCGACTTGACGGGGTGCACGTCGGCAGTTCCGGTGGCACGCAGGGCCAGAAAGTCAAAGGCGATGGCAGGCGGCGGGCTCGAGGCAATTGCTGGGTCCGGTCTATTCCACGCCAAATACTTTTTCATTGTTCGGTGCGCGGTGCGCGCCGACTTGATTTACATTAATGGCCAGAAGGGCCTTGCGGGTGGAGTGTAAGTGGGGAGAAGACGAGACTGTAATCGTTGTAATTCTTTGAGGTTTCACCGGGCTACGTAGATTCTACGCCTGTAAATGAGATATTAAAAATGGGACTTTTGGATTTCTTATACAACACATGACGCGAGAATTTAAAGCAGTATTAAGATGGTGTAGTTATACAAACATTTATAAACAAAACTGTGACGCGGAACAAATTTAGGATGCCATCAAATATTAATCAACCTTCCCATAAACAACCCATTCCAATTCGTCAATAGTGTGATAAAATCAATGATTATTGCTCAAAAACTACTCAGGAGATTACACGTTACCTTCCGTAACTGATGCACCGAAAGCTGAAACAGCCAAACACAGCAGCTGCAACGGTTTATTCAGTGAACAGGGGTCCGGCAAAGGAACTATTTAGAAACATCGCTTCCACGCCGTGAAAAGCGCGATTCACAGGTATAATAGCTGTGCTGGCCCTTCAACAAAACAAACGGACTATGCTCCGATTCCGGGTACGGCGTTTGTAAAGTCAGTCATTTCCTTATTATTAGAGACTTTTTTGGGAATTAGTGATTGTTATCAATGGGAGAAGAGAGCAAGAAGTCGGAACACTGATTGAGGGTGTAAATACGAAACGGAACGAGACATCTAGATCTTGATCTAAGACATGTTTCTTTTTTTAAAGCAAAATTAGAAATATGGAGGGAAATTTGTGATTTTATATGTCAAAAATGGAAAACTTAGAAAAAAATTTACTGCAAAGATTAAGAAAATGATATCTGAAAAAAATAATGCCTTAAATGGGAACTAAAACTATGAAAAGGCATGATCCATACCACTTTAAGCTCCTTTCTCAGACCACCCAACCAAAGATACTGATATAAAGGGGAAAAAAGGAAGAAAAACACTGAAAAAGTATTAAAAGTTCACGTAAAATTGCAATCAACGATTAGGAATGGTGCTTTTTTCGGACGGATTTTCCATTCGAATCAAACATCGAATCCTTTTCAGCGTTCATGTGGAAAGTTGATTGACGGAAAAGAGAACTGAGAACAATGCTAATACCCTGAGGCCTATTTCCTGTCAGGGCCCTTATCAGTTATAAAAAATGTAAACGGAATTAAATCTGAATGCTTCGGAGCAGGGCTGATATCAACTTAAGGTTCAGATTCTACAACCTAACTTTAGTTTTTAAAACATTTGAAAGACAAAACTTTTGGTAATAATTTTAACAGCAGTAAAACGTAGTGACCTTTGCTGTTTTCGAAGTCTCAGGTATGTCAAGTTTCATTTGTGAGATGCGAAAAAACAAAAGGCTCCCATAAAGTTACAAAACGTATGTAGCCCTCATATTCTCTCATTTAATACGTGTAGAATATAAAGTTTACACCCAAATACGAACGTATGTATTACATAATTGAGAGAAATATTAAATAAACCCAAATTGCAAACGGTAAGGGAGAGATAAGTAGTGCCATAAAGAATACAAAGATAAACAACTTTTAAGATTCAAAAAAATTACTTGTCTTTACATACGTATATGATTTAAAAAAATACAAGTGCAAGGCAGTGGAAGAAACATATATATCATATCAACGAGGTGGGAAAGTAGAGATGAGGAACACAGATTAGGATGAATGATTGTTATACTTCTCTCTAATTATGCAAAGACTCTCCCTTCATATTGCTTTACTCTTCCCTTTATGCTAATTTCCCGACAGACAGGAACAGAAAGTAAACAGAATTGACTTCATTCGAATGACGAAAATTAAATTGGCGTGTTATTATTGATCGATTCTAATTTTATCACCATTTGAAACGAAGATTAGGATTATTTGAGAGGATGTAAAGGATAGGATGAAAGAGTAGTACACTTAAAGATACATCAACCACAAAGTATATTTAAGTTATATCCTCTCCTTAAGTCCTTCAAAGACCTCCTCACACAACAACGAACATCATCTTGAAATCCTTTTTTACCCCAAATGTAATACTATTTCAGTTACTTCATTACCACATCATTCAAAACGGAAGCCTTGATAAAAGGTCCAAGGCTCCTCAGACACATCTACAAGATACGTATAAATAACGTAATGATTTTGGGAACGGAATTATTCATAAGCCAAATAATATTTATTACCATTGGCTCCGCATTACAAACCGAGTATTTCCCTAGGTTGTGCAGGACATTGGAGAACGCGCCAAGCCCGAAAGAGTTGAATCAATTAAAACCCGCGAAACCATAGAAACTTGAGGGCCCGGTGGTCTGGTCCCCACGTATTTGCATATTTGTGAGAAAAAATGTTTTGGAACGCTGTAAAAAGGGGGAAACGGAACGACGGCCGAGATCTTTGAACTCATAAAATGGGATTGAGAGAAAAAGAGTTAGCAGGTCGAGCACGAGGCCTCAGGGCAGACATCCGCTTTTTTTTAGGCGAGACGGAAGCCAAAAATTCCAAAGTCGAGACGTCGTCATTGATGAGCCCATTTTACAGTTAGAGCAGTGAAAGTGTTCAAAAGCACAGCCTTCGAAAGTTTGATCAAACACCACGTACATTATCTAACAAACCAACTAGAGGCTACACGTTAATGCAACTAATGACTGCATCTCCCATGGCTGAAAAAAAAGATCCCAAACTTTCATTTGAAAAGCAAAGGTTTCCCTTCAACTGTTAGCATAAACCAACACAAATTTTATGCATTAAGTATCCAATTCGGTCACAATCTTATGTAAACTACGATTACCAATGCAAAACGTCTTGTTAATTTCCCCGGCATACAATTGGCCATATTTAGAAGCGAAGTTTGTGAGAGAAACACATGGCTACTATGCTTTTCTCACAATCAGGACAAAATATGAATTGGCGAGGAAATACGACGCCAATTACAACAAGTCCACCCATTTTTTTTCAAGTTTGCCCAAATAACCCGGAATCGAATATCGAATGAATAATCTAATATAAATAAGCTGCAAATCGAATTAACAACGCGCAAAAAAGGTCTGTGCAAAACGGAACCCAAAACAATAAAATCCCCATAAAACTTTCAGTCTGTGTTTCCAACACAAGAAAAGGTTAATCCGAAGAAAATAATTGAGTTCCTGACCTTTTTTCCGCAGGTATTCCGAACAACCCATCCCGTCTGAAAGGCGTTGTAAATCGCCATGAAAAAAGTTAAATGGAAGTTGAAAAGAAAACAGAATGGGATTAAGTGGGGAGTAGATGTAAAACAGTGGACCCTCAAAAGACTAAGGATTCCATTTGGCGTAAGTTTGGGAATAAAGAGAACTCTAGGGGTTTCGATTTTGCAACACCACTGTAAACAGATAAATGCCCAACCAAATACTCACAAAAATATTGTTTTTTATACCAAAGAACCGAAAAGAAATGGATTCGATCATTTTGCCGATCAAAACAATGCATAACAAAGTAAGCTCCGTCCGAAACTTGTGCGATAGACTCCTGTTAAAGACCCATAAAATTAAGACCCTTTCGAAAATACGTCAAAAATACTTTCCCCAACAGCAAACGGAACGCGGGTGTGGAAGAAGGGGCTTAGCCAACAAGATGTGTGTATGAAAGAGAGAGGTCGATGGAAAAATGAAACGAAAACGTTTGCCGTCGCGGAAAGTGGAAACGTTCAGTAGGGTTCGAAAACGGAACGGCGGAAACTAAAAAAGTCTAACTGATTGACAAAAAAGTCCCTAATGTCATGTAAATAATTTTGTCTGAGTCCAGGAAATTAATAAATGAATAGCGGAAAGGACGGCGGCACGAAGCCCCCATTAAATTCGTCATTAAGTCTTATTTAAAATGCCAAATCCAAACGTGCTACTAAAGCGATTAACTAATCGCTGGCGCATTTGAAACTTCTGGGAAATAGTCATGTCTGCATTTGATGTCTGAAAAATATAGCTTTACATTGCAATCGATAACATTAAAAGCATTGCGAATATAAAAAAACCGTAAAATGTAAGATATGAGTTAATTGTTTGCCTTACACCTGCTGCAAAAAAACGGTGTAAAAACGCGACGGAACATACTTTAGCGCAACTGTTTAATTTCGGCAAAATGTCACAAACTGCACTTGTTCGAAAAGTCGACAGAGGGAGGGGTTTGGAGTGGAGATAACCGGATGAATATATCTATTTACTAAAGAAGCCGTCAAGGAGTAAACGACTTGATCCGGATGATTATATAGGGCCCTGACGTGTCAACACTCATTTCAACACAAAGAATGCCACGTAATGCGGCATACTTTCACCTGTTTATAAAAGGCTACAATGATATACGATTTGGAAATAGTAATAAAAATCTTAAAAAAATATAAAATATAAAGAGGGTTTAATGATAGCATCATCGACGCCATATATAGATACCACAAGAACAAAGAGTAAAACGGAAATTATATGTAAAAGGGGGGTTGTTAACATTTGGGTGTAGTTATACGATTACATTATAAATATATGTAATTGTAAATCAGAGCGTTGATATTACACGAGGTATACATTAAACTTTTCGAGTTATTGTAAACATGACTTTACAAGGAAAGTACTTTTATGAGGGCTCCTACTTTTTGACGGGACATATCTCAAAAAATCAGAAAAAATGTGCTGAACAAGGATATATAAATCCTAGCTGCCCATTTTAGGTTTTTAGGGGTGAAAACTCAATCGGAAGTTGACTTAAAGTCCTATATGAACCCCTTTTCGCTTAATTTTTCACAGGTTTACAGTTTTTATTTTGGCTTAAAACGATGTTTATTGAGTTTCTAAGACGTAATAAATCAGTCTTGGCACAAAAATTTATTTTTCCGGCCGTCATCTTCAAAAAAGTTGATTCAGCCCAAAAGGGAAATCGAACCCGTGCGGCGTTCCCCCTCTTCATTCCCAGACTACGGCACTAACCACTCGGCCACACCGCTCTCTTCCGAAGGAAGA